CCCCCCCCCCCCCCCCCCCCCCCCCCCCCCCCCCCCCCCCCCCCCCCCCCCCCCCCCCCCCCCCCCCCCCCCAAACATGGCTGTTGTACATACACAATAATTCTCAGGTAAATGAATATCGATCTTGATGGTCACATGGGATCTAGTGAAGATGATGATAATCTATGTAGGAAGTAATCAAAGGAAGTACATACATAGTCAGTAGTAGCAACCGGGAACCCCCAAGGTAAGAACACCAGAACAAGCAAAACCGTACAATCCCGACAAACGCAACACTTCCTTTTCCGGGAATACGTGAGGATATTCCCGAGTGCCAGTCCTACCTGGTTCTCTCCAATCAAGTCCTAGCGTACGGGCTTTAACGGCTGTGCATACATCACAAGCAGCAGGTAGTAGACAGCAAGCATTCAGCGGTCAGTGGGTGATCGTTCGACCCCTGCTACTTAGGAATCAGGCTCTGTGATCTCCAAGGTCTCGTTTGCTGACCATGCTACGTGATATTCTCTGTCGAATTCTCTCCGGGAGGGACGAGGCCACGCTTGGTATGTCCCGTCAGCCCCGTTTGTGTTCCCTGCTTTCTGCTGACCGAAGAGCAGCCATACGTCTGGACGCCGTTTGGTGAAAACGCATTCAACCGTCTGTCTGGGTCTAGGCTGCTCCGGTCCCCCTCTTATCTGGAGACTGGTGCTTTACTGTTTGAGTTGAAGATGAAAAATTATTTATCCATTGGGTGGAAAATGGCGAAGCTGAGGGAGCCTTGGGGTGTTACAGATCTCTTTGAAGGGCATCATCGGGGAAATCGAGGATTTCGAGAAAAGGGGAAGGGGAAGAAGAAGGTAAAGATGGGAGAGAGGGAGGGAGGGAGGAAGGAATACACACTCAACACCGCAATGGAAATCGGCCAGACAAACGGGCAAAGGAAAGGAGAAGCGAGAGAGAAAAACCAGGGGGGCAGAAGGGACGGGAAAAGGCTAACAGAAGGGGGCTTGGAGCAAGAGGGAAAGAAAGGAAGGCTGCAGCCATCCGAGGGAAAGGTTGTACATCCAGACCGGACAAACACCTGCTGCTTCTTATACGTTCTTTTCTCTCTCGGTCTTTCGTTTCTCTCCTTCTTCTGTCTTTCCTCTGCCGTTTCCCTGACTATACACTCTGTCCTCGTTTTCCTTTTCTCTCTGTCTGATTTTTTCGTTTCGTTCTTCGGTGGTTTCCTTTAAGATTCCTTTCCCCCCGTTATTATTATTAATGCTATAGTCCATTCTACTAGATTGTTGTCTTCTTACCGGCTTGTTCCATTTATTTGATTTTGATTTTGATTTTTTTCCTCTTCATTTTATTAAGGGCATTGGATGCTCCTCTGGTATTTCTTCTCTGGCTGGCTGGTCTACTTTCTCCTTCACATAGCACTGGATTTGCTTTGCTTTGCTTTGCTTTGCACGCCGTTCCCATCCTATATACCTGCTTGTTGCTTGCTGCTTGCTGCTTATAGTCTGGTCCCTCCTCCCTATTCCCCTCTGGTTCTCATTGCGCCGCCTGGGTGAATGTTGCGGTCACTTTCCCTCTAGAACTCTCGCCTCCGATTCACTACCTCTGTCGCTGAGTTGTGCCAGCAGGACCCTTCGCTCGCCTATCCTCCCTCTTCTTTTATTATTCTTTCGCCCTCTTCCTAAAATTCTCTTCTCTTTTTCACCCACCTCCTTGTCTTCCGTTACGCATCCTGACACCTCCGCCGACATCATACCTCTCCCCCTCTACCTTGTTTCACTTCGCTATACTTTCTGTCATCTCATTCATCGTTTTACTATTTATTTGAAGGTTTTCTTCTCTCTGAGAAACTGAAACATGGCTTCCTCGCTCCGTCCCCAGTTCTTTTGCACCCGTCCAAATGGCACTCTCACCCCGCTGATCGCTGTCGACGAGCTGCCTCCTCATGTCTCGATCCGCGGGGCTCCTCGTACTTTGTCTCCTAATGAGACTCAAGGAATGACAAGCTTGGGAACTCTCAGTCCCAGAGCTCAGTCCTACGTCGTTGAGGGGGTGTCCCAGGTTCCGACTCGTGCCACCTCGGCCAACGCGAACGGTCATCGCTCCAGAGACTATGACATGCACACTGCGCTTGCGCGACTCACTGTTGACGAGAATATGACCGCCAACCAGCGTCTAGCTGTGAGCAATATGCTCCAGCAGGGCTCTCCTCAGAGCTGGTCCGCGAACAACAACTGGTTGGTCCCTAGCGGCAGTGGTGGCTCGGGTGGCGGTAGTTCGAGACAGGTAAGTACTAGCTAGCAGTTGCTTTGTATGAGCTGAAATGGAGCTGTGGCTGACATGTCTCACCTTTATTCGGTTTTCAGAGCAATCCTTTGACCAAGAAAGAGTTCTGCTCTTATTGGATTCGACACGGCGAATGCGACTATCAGCAACAAGGTGAGATGAGATTCCGTGCGGTTGAACAACAGACCGAAAACAACCGTTCACCGGCTAACTTGTACCCTACAGGATGCCTTTACAAGCACGAAATGCCTAGGGATTTACCCACCTTGGAGAAACTTGGTCTGCGTGATATCCCCCGTTGGTTTCGCGAGAAGTACAACATCCCGAGTCTTGTTCCAAGCGGGCATGGTCACCCACGCGCTCAAGGTGGCCATGGACAGCACTGGAAGGATGATATGCCAGGCCGCGCCGGGATGAAGTCAATTCAATACCTGCCTCGTTTAGATCCGAACGGAGCGATCGATACTTCCGATGCGGAGAAAGGTCCCAAGCAGAAGAGTCCGGGCTATGCCGCTTCGCAGCAAAGTCCGGCCATGGCCCCCGGTCCTTCGCGCTCTGCTTTCCCAGCCGGCAACTCCCCCAAAGCCCCAGACCACCAGAGACAGGCAGGCAAGTACGGCCCTCAGTTTGGCCCAGCCGCAAAAATGCCCGACATCTTCGCTTTTGATCATCTGCCAGAGTATCCGTCTCTGAGTGCCATGGGATCTGGTATTGGCGCATTGAATCATCCTACTGCTCGGGATGACGTAGAAGCTCTCGATAGGGCGGAGCATGAGGAGTTCTTCCGCAACATGGCCCTCATGCCAAACGCCGAACTATTGCGCAATCCTTTTGACATGTCTTCCGGTACGAACCGTTCCAGGAAGGCCCAGAAGTCTCGCCGCCTGTATCAGCCTCGACCTCAGACTGCCGGACATGAGGCTAGATATGACACTCCGGATCATGACACTTACAAGAGTGTCAATTCCCCAGTCGGTGCGGGCCCAAGCCTTGGTCCCTCCATCTCCAAAGACGGTATCAGCTCTCCGTTCGCAAGTCCTCTCGCTAGTCCTATCGCGGAGACTCCCACTCGTGATGACTCGCCATCTGCGCACTCCGGCTCCTCTCATGCATCCGAGGTCAGCCCCAGGGTTATTCAGCCCCAGGGTAGCGACAAAGACCGCCCCATGCCAAGTCCTATTGGAAGCAAGAGGGCTCAGCAGAAGAAGCCCATGGGATCGTCCAACGACTTCTTCAAGCTCAACTCAAAGGGACATGAAAAGTAAGAGCGAGCGAATCAGTCCGTACGGTCTCGATCTTTCATCGCCACCTCTAACAGTATTTCTTTTGTTCTTCCATCTTTTTAATTATCACTGCTCCGGTTTACGTTGTCTTTAACTTGTATTTACGACCTTACCTACGGAGGACACGAAGCTTCCTCGGCTCTTGATGATATGAAAAACCCGATCTCGGAAACCTCCCCTAAATATACTGTCCTCTCAACCCGGGAAATGTTTATGAACGAGGTGGATGAGTTTTACAGTACAATGAACGAGCAACATGATGATATGATATGACTTTTTGTTTTTGCCCTCTTTACCCCAAAGTTCTTCCCTACCTGTTCCCTATCGTTTGTTGGATGAATGCGCGTCACCAAGGATATGATGTGATCTGAAATGATGCAAAGGTTAGGATACAATGACTGTGCAACATGAACTGGATAAAATTGTCTAGTTTTTTTTTTTTTTTTTTTCCTTCTTTGCGACAGTTGTTTCTGTTTCTGTGACAGGGTCATGGTCATGGTCAAGAATCTTCTTGATCTACTGTCCTGTTTGTCACCTTTTTATCTTCTTGTGTTAGTGGTGGTTACTTACTTTTTCTGCTTCTTTTTTAATTATGATGTACGGGTTGTATTATAAGGCCTTTTTTCAAGGGTATATTTGCATGTCAAATAAATACTCAAGAGTTTCAAAACAAAGCAAAAAAGCAAAAAAAGAAAAGAAGGCGAAGAAGGCCGGTGAACGAGGGATGAAGCTGGTACAGAATGGATGTTTATTTCTGTTGGTGAACTTTTAGCATAGGTTTCTAGGGTATCTTCAATAGGTTGCAACCTCTTCCCAGGAGATTTTGATTATCAAGAATTATCAAGACCATTCATTCATTGAGTGTAGGATTTTCAGGTATCAGTTGTACTGACTTCTAACTAGACCAAAAAGCTCAGCTGGCTGATGGTCAGTCCTTGCAGTACCTGATATGTCAACATTGAGCGTGTATGTGTGCGTGAAGAATTGATAAGGAATATAATATACATTGAGATACATAATTCTAACATGACCGTGCAAAAATGTGCGCCGCCCCTGATATTTTGAGGTACAAAAAACAAACAAGAAGAAAATAAAGAATCCCATCACAAGGGGAAAACACCTCACACGTCAAGTGTACAGTTAGTTAGTGTCCTCGCTACTCTCCTCTCCAAGTAGAGCTCTCAGCCTTTCGATTCATCTCAATCCACCCTCTATCAGCGCCTCTTACCCCCAACCTTAACAGCAACCTTCTCCCGCTCCTGCTTCGCCTTCGCATTCAAAGCCGGGTTCAACGATGGCACGTTCCGCACAGCCTCCGCAATAACCAACTTTCCATCGACCAGGGCCTGCCTCTCCAGCTCCGACTGCTTCCTCTCCGCACGGTTCGCCTCGAGCTGCTTCTTGCGCTCCTCGGTCATCTTCCAGGCCTCGGGGAAGCGGAGCTTGCGCTCGGGCTTCTGGTGGCGCAGATCGAGGGGCACGTCGCTGAAGGAGTCGCCCTCCTTGGCCTCCTTGATGAGCGTGTTGATGAGATCGCCGAGGTACCGCTTGTTCTGGGCGCGGGTGGTGAACTTCTCGCACGACATGCGGATGATCTCGGTGTTGGGGTTGTAGCGCGGACCGACGAGCTTGAGGAGCGTCTGCAGCTGCGCCGCAGAGACGTACTTCGGCGCCAGATCCTGCGTGCTGACTTCCATGACGACCTTGCTTTCGGCGGGGTGCTGCTCGCCTAGATACGACGTGTAGCGGAATCGAAGGATGTGAGTGTCCGGGGGGAGGGTGAAGGGGCGAGCCAGTTCTAATCAATCATAAGCGGGTTTTGGTTAGTCACGGACAATCAAGGGAAGAATGGAAGGGGAGGGAACTGGGATTCCATACGGCTCAAGAACGGCATATCCCAAGCAGCAATACGAGTCCATTCTCGGATGTCGCGGTGCAATTCGACCTCCGCATGAGCCATGGAGGTCATTTCATCCTCGCGGAACTCGTCGTCCGCGTCCTCAACGAGACCGAATTCGTCGTCTTCCTCCTCAGCCCAGAAACCAGGCCTCTTCTCGCGGATGTCCTCGAATCGCAGCCCGCCTCGCTCCAGGTTGGCGACTTCCCGGTTCAGGTCGGCGAGGGCGTTCGCTCGCTTCTCGGGGTCGTTGAATTCGGCCACCATGCGTCGGTTTTCGGCGTCGAACTGCACCCGCTCCTCCGGGGACAGCATATCGTACATCGACTTCTCCTCCTTGCTCAGCAGGTCTGGCGAGTAGTCCGGCATGGTGGGCATGTCGTCTAAGGTGGACGGCGACGAGGTCCTGGCCCGGGAAGTTGACGGCGTGGCGGAGAAGGAACGGATGGGGATGGCGATTGGGCCTCGCCGGGTTAGCGAGAGGGCCGAACGGCCCATGGACCGAGCTGCTAAGGCCATTTGGGAGGAGAGTGAACGGTATGGAGGAGAAGGGGGAGGTGAAAGGGCGGGATAACCAGCTGGAGAGAGGCGGAGGAGGTTTATCGGAGCCCATGTTTTTCTGCGGCTGCGAACTTCGTTTCCGCTAGACCGCTTCGGGAAGGGGGAAGGCCGTCGGCTCTTCTCTTCTCCTTCTACTCTTCCTTCTTCAACTTCATCTTCAACTCCAGGGCAAATATGTTTCGGCCCCCTTTGCTTTTTTCTATATTTTCGGTATCCGAGTGAGAACTCTTTCGCATCTCAGTATCAACCATACCACCATCGAGTCCCCCTAGACCATGGCCACAAGCCAACCCGATAAGTTGTGCTTCGTCACCGTGGGAGCCACGGCGTCATTTCATCTACTCTTGCAGGCCGTGCTGGATCAGCCCTTTTGCGATGCTCTGCACCGAATAGGCTATACACACCTACTCGTACAGTATGGCAAGGACGGCCGATCCCTATTCGAGGAATCCCTTGCCAAAATCTCCGATCGTCACGGCATCAAGCTCAACGGCTTTGATTTCAACCACGAAGGCCTTGATGGAGAAATGGGATTGGCGCAGTGTAATCCATCCGAGAACCGCAGCGGTGGAGTGATCATCAGTCATGCAGGTAAACACTTGTGTGGCCCGGAACCCTCTACACCTCTTTCTATGTCATGAGGGTAACTGGCGCAAGAATCGTATTCAAGTAAAAGAAAAAAAGAAACCAAAAGAACGCACAACTAATACGTACCTACCCCACACAGGATCGGGCAGTATCCTCGGGGCCTTACGCCTCGGTGTCCCGCTGGTGGTGGTTCCCAATCCGACGCTGAAGGATAACCACCAGGAAGATCTGGCGCGCGAGCTCCAGAAACAAGGATATGTTATTGCCAGCCCATACCAGTATGCTTGCCCCATCCCGAGAGTGTAGCAGTGACAGGGTCATTCCTTGGTTCTTATGCGTTTTCCCTCTTGTTCTTTGTAGGGACGTTGCGGCCGCCTTAGAGCACGCGGAGACCCTGAGGTCTCAGATGTTGACTTGGCCGCCTGTAAAAGGGGCCGGGAAGAAACATCGTACGCTGGACCAAGTGATGTCGGACGAGATGGGCTTTTTGGATTAATTTCTCTGGTCTGGATGGTTTTGTTGAGGTGTTTGTTATATTACTATGGCGTGGATTCCACCGCACTACTCTGTATACCTTTGGGGAGAGAATGATTTCCTCTGTCTGAGACATGATGTGAAGATTAATTATATCAACTTTCAAGCATGATGGCTACTATAATGAACCTGCGTTGGTTGTTCAATGTGTAAATGTTGACCTGTAGAGAAGTATAGAGAAAGTGGCCCAAGCTCCTTGTTGACGGCACGGAACTTCCAATCTTCTCCGATCTGAACGCGACTTCATCTCTTCGCCGCCGCCCTCACCTCTCCGTCTCGAGCGCCGTCAATTGGGGTTGAAAACAACTATTTGATAACCCTCTCTCCTCTGGGCCTGACGTTGTCTTTTTTCCTCCCCAACCGTGGGGCCTTTTCACCTCTCCTCAAACAATCGCGAAATCCACAGGGGCCTCTCACTCCCCGTTTCACGTCTCTCCCTCCCACTCCCCCCCAAATATTCACCACCCAACGCAATGGCCGAGGCCACCCTCCACAACGCCCCCATTGTCATCGACAATGGCAGCGGGACCATCCGCGCCGGTTTCGCCGGAGAGGAGATTCCCTCCTGCTACTTCCCCTCGTTCGTCGGTCGGCCCAAACACCCGCGGGTGATGGCCGGCGGCCTTGAAGGCGACGTCTTCATCGGCCAGCGGGCGCAGGAGCTGCGCGGGCTGCTCAAGATCCGGTATCCGCTGGAACACGGCATCGTGACGGACTGGGACGACATGGAAAAGATCTGGCACTACGTGTACGAGAACGAGCTGAAGACGCTGCCGGAGGAGCACCCCGTGCTGCTGACCGAGCCGCCGCTGAACCCGCGCAAGAACCGCGACACCGCCGCCCAGATCATGTTCGAAACCTTCAACGTGCCCGCCCTCTACACCTCCATCCAGGCCGTGCTGTCGCTGTACGCATCCGGCCGCACCACCGGCGTCGTGCTGGACTCGGGTGACGGCGTCTCCCATGCCGTCCCGGTGTTCGAGGGCTTCGCTATCCCCAACAGTATTCGGAGGATTGACGTCGCCGGGCGCGACGTCACAGAGCACCTGCAGGTGCTGCTGCGGAAAAACGGCCATGTGTTGCATACCAGCGCCGAGAAGGAGGTGGTGCGCATGATTAAGGAGAAGGTCTGCTACGTGTCGTTGGATCCTAAGCGGGAGGAGAAGGACTGGATGAACAGCTACCACAAGTCGGAGTCGAAATTGGTGGACTACGCCTTGCCGGATGGGCATCGGATTAAGGTATTTTCTGTTCCTCACCCCGTTTCTGCAGATATCCCCTCCCTCCGAACACTCATCCCTGACTTTTCTTGCCTCTCCTGAACAGATCGGACAAGAACGTTACCGCGCCCCGGAAATCCTCTTCGACCCCGAGCTGATCGGCTTGGAATATCCTGGAGTTCATCAAATCGTTCAAGACGCCATCACCCGGACGGATCTGGATCTGCGCAAATCCTTATACCTCAACATTGTCCTCTCGGGAGGATCGACCCTGTGCAAGAACTTCCCAGACCGACTGATGCGCGAGATCAAGCGGTTAGCGGTGGAGGATATGAAGATCCGAATCTCTGCGCCTGCGGAGCGAAAGTACACCACTTGGATTGGTGGAGGCATTCTCGCCGGACTGAGCACCTTCCGGAAGGTAAGTCGTCCAACGGATCTGTGATGCTGTATGTGGATATGCTAATCAAGTTGGACATGTAGATGTGGGTTAGTGCGGACGAATGGCATGAAGACCCTGAGATCATCCATCGGAAATTCGCCTAAGCCTTTCTTTCTGTCTTTGTCAATTCGAATCCAGACTAGGCATACGAGGGAGGAAAGTCCAAAACAAGGCTCTAAGCTCAAGGCTTCTGCCAATTCACTCCCTCGGACAACCAACGAACCAAGGCCAGAAAAAAAAAGAAGGAAAAGGCACCTCACAAAAAAAGGACAAAAAACCAACATAACCTTTAACCCAGATGATTCAAGAATTAGGTGACATTGCAACGTTGTCACGACATTTAACTTTCGACCAACCCCTGAAGAACTAGCTGTTGACTTGACGCGCATTGATTGAGCGAACAGCTTTTGATACCCCCTCCCTTCCTTCCTTCCCTCTCATTTCTATTACTCCATGTTTCTCATTGATGTCGATATTTATCCCCACAATTACACCCACACCCACTGTTTCCACCCGATTGATCTGCACCCAAACCATACCGTCAATCTGAGTCATCGAACTCATTTCGCAACTTGGGATGGCGATGACGATGGCGATGTCGACGAATCGATCAATATCAAATCAACATCATTTCACTACTCTGTTTGTTTACCTATGATTCTGAAGTCACGGTTCTCCAGCTTTAAATACAGATCCAGGTTCGAACCCCTAGGGACGCAGAGCAGAAGCAAGCAAACAGCTGGCTCCAGGCAGATCGCCTAAAATGAAATGAGGAATCAAATCAATGAAGTATCTCCTTACATATCATCTTCACCTCCTGTTCTTTTACCGTTTGATTGTTTAATTTCTTCTACTTCGATCTGTTTATTTTATGTCTCCCCTACCTGACTGACCTCACCTTACCTGACCCACCCTTACCTACCTGTGTAAATAAAGCTTTTGAACTTTGATTAACTATGTAGCTGACTGAACTTTTTATGCAATTAAGAAATAGATAGACGGACAAATTACTTAGATCTTATTTTTACCGTTTTGTTCTAGATTGGCATATCCATCGTTGTAGATCAATCAGTTGTTTATATCTCGCGAGAATCTACCTGCATTTCACTGCGGCTATATAGTATAGCGTGATGTCACCGGCGAGTTAGTCCAATATCCACGGTTTAAACCGTCCGAGGAACCAGAACAGCGGGCATCATCCGAAGTACTTGCTACGTGAATAGTAAAGAGGGAAAAAGGTTTGACTTCCAAAATGTCCGGGTTCTTATCCTTCATTTCCGACAGATATATCAAATCAAGAGAACTAACATACAGTGAGGATAAGAAACAGATGAAAAAATCAACATCATATCGAAAGACATTGTATTGTGATGGAGCCAAAAAAAAAAAAAGTAAAAAAAGGAAAAAAAAAAAAATTTGACAGTGAGAGTGCAAAACGATGTTCCCTCCTTGGTTGGCCGATTCCAGAATCTGGCATACACATTGTTGTTGAAATAGGAAATATAGAAGGATTCAGGAAAGACCAGCGATATGAAGATCCCGTGGAATAAACACACAAGATTCAAAAAATTCGATCGAAGTGCCAATGATAATTTCATGGCGAAGAGGGTATCATGTCGACAAAGGTGTCGAAGGCAATAAAAAGAAATGAAAAATGGAATAAAAAGAAGTAATTAGGTGAAGTGGGCGGTCGAGAGATAGCAGTCGAATCCGCAACTTCCCTCGATCAAATGCGAAAGTCGGAAGAGAAGAGAGATGATGTGATTATAAATTGCGACAGTCCTCGAGATTTCGAAGGTAAGGGATGTTGAAGGAGTAGGATGATGTAAAATCAAAAACTTTTTTTGGTGGTCGTGATGTCGTGAGTCATGCATGCGAAAGTCGAAAGAAATCAAGTTTCGAGACGCTGAATATGCATGTGGGTGTTGAAATCAAAGGAATCGAGGTGTCGTAGATGATGAGATGACAAGCGTCTAAGCCATTCCTCTGAGCTTGCCCCAGCCCTTCTCCAGGCCGCGCAGGGCCTTTTCGCGAGCCGAACTAGTCGAACCGGCACTACTCGAGGTAGCATTGCTGCTGGCGGAGAACTTGCGCGACAGACTGCTGCCACTGCTGGAGGTGTCCCGGTGGACCATGTTGCCGGCACCACCACGGCCGACGTGGTAGACGGGGGCGGCGCGACGCAGGTCCCGTTCTAGTTCCTCGTCGAAGCTGAACATGGCGCGCTCACTGCTGCTGTGGACGTTGCCGGCGCCGCCGCGGCCGGACTTGAAGGTGCTGGGGACATGCGAGTCCAGGCGCGTCAGAGACGCGGGACCGGTGGCCGAGCGAGAGTCGGTAGTCTTGGTGTTCTTGAGACTGATGACATTGCCAGCGCCTCCGCGAGCCGTATGGAGAGCGGGGCGGGAGGTATGAGGGACGGAAGGGTGAGGTTCAACGACCCTGTAATTGATAGATGCCGGCATGATTATGTGGTGATATGGGAGAACGAATGCTCTAAAAGAGAATCGGTCTATGACGCAAAATGCATAGAAGGCTAGTGATGCGCGAGGTCGAAGCTATGGATTCGACAGCAGGATGCTAGCAGTAGTAGAAGAAAAATCTGTCACGACGATCAAGGACGCGCAGAACTACACACTAGGGAGGGATTGGATATGGAAGAGAGTGAGAAGAGGAAAGGAGGGGTATATGATAGCTGAGTTCAAGGAAAGGATCGTGAAAATATCTTCTCCTTTGTTCAATTGCGATGGGACCACTATAAAGCGAGCCAAACATTGCGGCGGGGACGGTTTTATATACTAGTTGGATCGGTGAGCCAACCGGTCACTGGGGAAGAGGGAGAAAGGCGACGATTGCACCATTCTCGTTTGGCGTTCCAGGCACGATGGTTAAGTTCCAGGGTCACACGCTGGGCCGCTGGCGACCCGGTGGATGCGACGGTGGAGCAGCTGCCAGGAAATTGAGCGCTCGTTGCCATCTCCATCGCTGTTTCCTGAGTAAGCAATACCCAGATGTCTATGCGCGCGGTACGAGCCCCCTCCTTATGTCAGCTCGCGTTAGGGCTGGGCGGTTGCCGCAGCCATTCAGGGGTGAGTTTGGGCCCGTTCCAATCGACCATTGGCCGCCGGGGATCCACCGATCCTGCTGCTTTTGGCGCCCCCTTCTGAATCATCTGACATGTCCAAGCCCTGAAAAACGTAACAGAAACTGCCCCGAAGGCCAATCAGGGGGAAGTCCGCCCCAATGTGTCCCAAAGCGAATTTCCTGGGGGTAATGGAAATTGCTGGCCGGTCACGAGTCGTCATCGTGAGCGGATGATCCTTACAGACTCTTGCAATGGTCTCTGCTTCACTTTCAACCCGGTCAACTCGTGGTTTCCTCATCTGCAGCGCCTTCATCTGCCATCCCAACAGCCTCTTTAGAGGTGCTCCTTGCGGCTGACCGGTTTGCCCGGCAGGTAGCCAAGCAGTTAAGATTGGAGATGATTATATAAGAATTGAATTATAATCAATGTTTCAAGAAAATAGAATTTAATGAAACAATTAATCCGTCATCCCCCTTGTGATTCATGCCGGTCAATTAAAAAAAGTATTGATTTTTTATTTTTTCTTAAAAAAGAAAATGAAAAAATTTTCTCCCCCGCAAGTTACTCATATTGGCAGCACGCACGATTGCATCATCGCTTCTGGATGATTCCAACGCATCGACATCCTCCCGGTACTCCCTACAGTATGTACTGTACTGTACTCCAATTTGAGTGAACGGCTTGCTGCCTGCCGTCATCTTTGCCCGGTTCCTGACTTGTCGACTTCGCCGTCCCCATGTCGCATTGCCAATGAAACATGCGTTCGTGGGTGATCTTGCGCCTTCACGGCTGCAATGTTGTCTTTCTTGGCATGGGGCAGATCTGGCTAGAACCTCCTCTAGCGCCGGATAGTCGAGGAGATCTTCAAAGAAATCTCTCACCGTCCTTCCCCTGGATGCATCGCAATGTTAGTCAGGGATAATGTCTCCTGAACTGTCGACAACATTGACCAGTGTTGGCGGTGGATCGCATCATCTCGACTTCCATGTTGGGGTTACTATTACTACATCATACAGGACAATAATGTTCCGTTCCCTCCATTCTCCGAGGACCTCCCCCGCATACAACCGGCATTATTGAATATTATTCAACAATAATTCATCGTCTTGAAATCCAGACCAGACAAAAAACCAGCGCGATCCACTCGAGGGGGCCAGACTAAACCCGACGAGGACAACTTCCCCAGACAATTGTCAGGGCTGGACTGGAGCGAAATGACGCCAGTTCCACCACGACGACAGAAATGCCTCAACTTCCCCCGTTGATCCGTCCATTCAGCGCCGCCTGAAAATTTTTTCCTCCCCCATTCCGGTCCACTGCGGATCGTTCAGGCGATTGGCCAGCTTCACCGATCCGGTCCAACCGGTCGCGGTGACCTGGTCAATAATTTTCCCCTTCTTTTTTCGGTCATGGGTTTTTTTGGTTTTTCTTGTTTCTGAGAGTGAGGAGGCCCTCGGGCCTTCCCCGGATTTTGGCCCCAGGCATCGACGTGGTCATATGCAGGTGATGGCAAGTGTCAGCCAAAGCGGGAGAATTCCCCCTCCTGCATCACAACCCAATTTCGACTTCCAGGCCTCGGCTGGGTTCGGCTACTTACCCGTCTCTCCCTCTGCGCTCGACTGTTTCGCCAGCCGGGATCCCCTGGCATGTCAGGCTGCAATCGGCCTGAAGTGTCGATGCACAATAGAAAGCGTATTATCAACGGAATGGGCGCAGTATGAGCGATTTACGACCTCACGTTGCTCCCTGTTCGACGGAGGCCCGTCCGTCTACAGTGTTTCATCGAAGATCGGGCCCTGTCAATCCTGTTTAACTCTGGCTTCTAGCCAGGGCAGTGTTACATTGACCTATGCGCACTGTAGCAGGCGTGGAAATATTGTTTCCTGATATTAGGACTCCCTCACGGGAGGTCTCCCACTCCGAGAGACCATTCACGACGACTGCTTCATTTCATTCTGCGTTGTACCAAGACTCGACATGAACGGATACTGATCTGCACTGACTCTTTGTTGATTCGGTCAACTCGAGCGTATTGAATGCTCCTCTCGACTACGGAGTAATGTCTCTAGCCGATTTGTTTCACTTGGTGGTAACACATCATTATAGTAGTTTCTTCTTCCACTGACACACGGCCTACTCTTACGCCTATTCTTTCATCTTTTTGCCTAGTCTATCACCAATCTTCAACTATACGCGCTAGAGAAATTCTCTCTTCGTGTCACCAACGTGAACAGGCAGCAGCATATTATATGCATCTCACGGGCAGTTCGAGTGCATGTTAGCGAAGCCGCAGTCAATGGCTTTACCGGCTATTATGTCTGACGTTCCTTGGTCCTCAAAGTAGGGTGCGTCGAGTCACGATTCGGAAAGGAACGGTCCCAGTAGAGAATCAGTACCGGACACCTCATTCTGTTCAGATAGAACATAAATAGAGTTGAGTGTAAGATGATATGTGCCATGCAGTCGCATTGCAACCGAGATGAGTTGTTGCGGTATATACTTGACGTAGAATTCTCACCGCTAATCATTCCTCTGCCGTATGCTTCTTACGACGCTGCAAAACACACTCAGGTTCTTCGATAATCACTCGTGGCAGATGAGTGAAAGGCGGTATTCGAGGCTCGAGTGTTCATTGACTGACTTTCTTGCAAGTAGGTGAAATTCGTGTTTGACGAAAGAGCTTGCAAATCAAACGTTAAATACGAACTCATATACTTAGTTGGAGGCATGATCCTTTGTAGTTACGAAAATTAGACCCAGATTGATTCTCAATTTAGTATTGGCAGGAACCAATGTGATACCACCAAAATTGACATGCCAACACCAGTCAAGATCCCAAGGGCGAATTATGACTCTAGCGCGATTGCGGCCTTATATATCAGGTGTCAACAAGCTTGTCTACGTATATTCTGCCATGTCACACCGCCCGAGATATCTCCGTCGCTATCGAAACTCCGCTTCATTATCCAGGACTTCATGCAAGTCTGTGCTTCGAGCAATCTGAGCAACTACCCTGCCGCAATTGTCGGTTCAACTATCCGGTCATCTGGATCGCTGCGTCAGATACATCTACACCGCGAGTGATCTCGTTCTGCGCCAGCCCGCTCCACGCGCAACGCGCCATCAGAGCGCCGCCGATTCAAGCTTCGCCTCGAACGCCCAAGGTCAGCGACGGCCTGAAGATTCAAGATGCCTAAATATAAGTGACTCCCTGCTCCTCTTATCGGTCAACTAGAAGCTAACTATCAATGCACTCTTCTGTAGGTTCTCCCATATGATGGCAGATCTTCCACCCGTCTCGAATCGCGCCACATCCATCCCGTCTTCTGGCCGCATCTTACTGATCCCATGTCCAATTCCATAGGCGACTACTGCGATGTGTACCTTACACACGACTCCATGAGTGTGCGCAAGGCGCATAACTCCGGACGAAACCACCTGAGGAACGTGTTGGAATACTACCAGCGTATGAGACAAGCCCTACCATTACCCTCTCTGCTAGAGATTCCCATGAAATTGAAATGAATCTCTCTCCCTCGCTCACCAAAGACAATTCCAGAAATCGGTCAAGAAAAGGCCCAATCCGTCATCGACTCCATCACCTCGTCCTACGCCGCTGAAGGTCAAGCCGTGCCGAACCCTGCCATGGCTCCCCCGGGTGCTTTCCCTCCTCCCCCGTTCGCCTTTCCTCCCGGTATATCTTCCCCCTCCTCCCCTCGGATACCTTCCCCTCCATCCATCGATATCACTAATTGGAATCAGGTCGTCCAGGTCAATTCCCACCTCTTCCATTCGGAATGCCCCCACCCGGCGCACCAGGTGGTGCCCCCGGCATGCCTCCTCGTACGTCTTCCCCCTCTCCCCTCTCCCCCCCCTCTCTACCTCTACACCAAAAACTAACCCAACCAATATAGCCCCCGGCGCTCGCGGTCTCCCCTTCCCACCTCCCTTCCCCGGCGCGTCCGGCGCTGCTCCTCCCGGCTCTATCCCCCCACCTCCCCTTCCCAACATGCCCCCAGGCCAAGGCTTCCTCCCACCTCCCGGCGGCTTCCCGCCCGGCTTCCCTCCCATTCCGCCTCCTGGCCAGGGCCCTGCGGGATACAGTCCCAGCCCCGGACCCGGGATGGGCGGTCCCCCCGGCCCGTCAGATGGATACGCGCCTCCGGGTGCCGGACTGGGTGGTCTTCCTGGTCCGCCTCCTGGGTTGGGGGATTCGCGATGAGAGGGTCGTTGATTTCGAGCCTGAGATTATTTGAGTGAGTGAGTGAGCACCAGAAGAGACAGACGAAAAGATACAGAAGAGAAAAGGAAAAAGAAAATTCATGCATGATGGGAGTGCCCCTACACTACAATACACGTCTTTGGTGTGAGTGATATCTCACCATTGACGTCTGTTCTTTCTTTCCTTTGTTTTTCAAACGGTTGTTTTGTTTTACTACTTTTTTCCTCTCGAGAACATTGTATACGTGGGTGTTAAACAGTTTGTTTTCATTATTATTATTATACCTCGATATCTAGATATTTTATCTTTTTTTCATTGATTTCCGATGTTCTTTATCTGTTTCCAGCGTTCTTCTTATTCAATGGTATATATCGATTCAATCTCTCTTGATAGTGGATCTCATTTTGCTTGATGATAAATTCACTATGAATTACAAGGACAAGTTGAAAAGTTCTGAAAGGCACGTCTTTCGGACGTGGATACTAGCATTATGACCTCCGTGCATCTAAAGAGAAAACCAAAACACGGACATATCACAGATAATAACAGAGGGACAGACTATTGGATCAATCAAACAATAGTAGTAACAACCCTGTCGAGTATATAGATAGATCACGAAGTCCACAAAATCAAGTCAAGTCCCGATCTCCTGATCCAATGCTTCAGAACGCCGGTTGAAATAGAAAGAGATGATAGAGGAAAAAAGAAAGAAAAGAAAAGTTCCCGACAAGGTGATAAAAAAATGGAAAGGAGGGAGAGATGTTGATCGAACATAATACTTTTCAGTATATCCAAAAAAGTACAGTCTACATTAGTAGACTAAATGGTAGTTAGGTGCGGAGGAAACAAAAACAATCAGAAACAAGCAAGGGCAGGGCACGAGATGAAGTAATCCCGTCCCTTTCCCACGCTAAAAGCCATAACTTCATTGCAGGCAAAGCTAGAAACAATCAAAAGAACAATTTCCTAGTGTTCGTATCCAGCACCCCTTTGCCACGGGCTAGACGAGTTCTGCGCCCTGTATGCAGCTGGATTGTTGAATGGCGAGGCGTTGACTCCTCGCGGAACTGGGGATGGCGATCGTGCATCAAAGGTGGGTCGTCGGGCCGGAGCATCGTTCGCACTGGGGAACAGAGGCAGCGAAGGATCGACAGGAGACACCGGAGGGCGCGCAGACATCGGTGACGCATCGTGCGCCTCGAGGTTCTGATGGCTCACGCTCGCCCCGTTACCATTTGAGAATGAACTAGTATCATCCTCAAAAGCGCTCGACTTATACGCATTTGTCTTCATGTCACCTCGGGCGGTAGCACCCAGAGCGTCCAATTCGGTGGTCAGCTGGGTCTGCGACTTGATGAAAGATCCACGGTCATCACGCATGGGCTGGTAGCGTGTATCGGGGTTCTTCGACACGATGGCGTACACGGAGGCGACGAGAACCATGATCAGGAGAATGAGAGCAAAGACCGCGTTGATAACAAAGAATACGACACCCATAACGCCAGTCACAATTCCAGGCTGGTTGAAGACTTCGGAAAAGAACAACAGGAAGATGACGTTGAGGAAATTGATGGCGGCAATCGAGATGTTATAGATGTTCGTCTTCTTGTCCATCCACGGTCGCATAACACTGACCGCGATCAACATGGCAGCCTCGATGATGACCAGAGCAATTGTTTGGACGATGGGAGCCGATTGACTGAGGCCGATGAACATGCCCTTGATCAGGATGTATGCGAGCGTGGGCACGACAAAGTAATATGCTGTGGCGCGATACTGCACGTACAAGAAACCCCACTTGTTCAAACAGGTGGGATCAGAGTAGAGGATATAGGCCGGGTTCTTGTGCATGGTAACCGAGCGTTTCGCAAGGCGAATGACCTTCAAAGCTGCCCAACCCAGGGCCGCAATGATCGATATCAGCATAATCACGGCAAGAACAATCTCGGCGGCCGAGTCCTGTCTGGTGAACTCCCACAGACAAAGAATACACATCTGCGGGAAGCCGATCAGGGTAAGTCGAAAGAGGATTCCTCGAGCAACAGTCTTCCATCCGTTTCGGAAGTCCTGGAACTTATCGCTCTTCATTTTGCCGTGCTTCGCCAAGACCTCACAGCCTGCTTTAAAAAGAGCAACAAAAATCATCACAACGGTGACAAAGAAGACGAAAAAGATTAGCCCCGTCAAGAAAATGTTGGTCTGTTCGATTTTGGCCTTGAATCCGACACGCTCAATACCCTTGACGGTAATACTACTGCTTTTCGCGCCACTCTGTTCTCCCTCGCGCTTAAACAGATGCCCGGAGGCGCTTCTGGCTAGACCGACCGAAGTATCGAAAGATCGCTTTTTCAGCACCTCAACCGAAGTTGTTGAAAGCTGCGAGAGAATTGTGGACGGGGTTCCTCCGGTCGCTCGCTGGTACCATGTACAGATGGTTTCAAGGAAACCAATGCGAATGATACCCATACTCCATTGGAAATTCTGCGTCCACGACTCTACAATCGGCGGCATGTGAACAGAAGTCATACCAATGATGGCCTGCGACTGCATAAAACTGAATAAAGACAGGGCGTTCGCTGCAACATGTGCGGCTGTATTCGAGTGACCGAGTCCGGACGTAATGGCCGAAGCTGCCAGACCTAAGCCGGATATAATTGCTGTAGACCAACCAACTCCTTGCTGGTAGACCGTTTTACTGTTGGATAAACTAGCCTCGAGACATGTGATAGGTTTTCCTGTTTCCGTCGAGTTGATATAGATGCGAACAGAGGCGTCAAGGTCGGGGACAGTATATGCGATACCTAGAGCGATTCGTTAGCAAACAAGGATCCCCCTATTATGAGCGATTTCACTAGATACACACCGGGAATGCTGTTGACGACTTCTTCCGGAACGTCAATGGTAGCTTTCTTAACGTCGATAGGACCTGTGTTCATAGGGCAAAGGCCTTGCAGGTTCTGCTCACACGGATCAATTTCCTTTCGGAGAGCCTCGATTCCGTATGCGTTAAGGATTAGCTCCGCAGTCATTTTTCCCGAAATCGAGGCCACTCCATCGAAGCTGAATGCCAGAGAACGGTTGTTGGGGGTGAACGTGACGGCGAAATAGGTTGCCGTGAAATTGTTGCTGTCTTGACACAAATTCAAGGCATTGGATTTGATGACCTTGATCGCAGACACCGAAGGTGCCGCGAGGAAAGCGAGGAAAACGCTGAATAGAAGCGATAATAGCCGCATGGTGGGAGGTGTATTGTCGGCGTCAAGTTTCCCAGTCGACGGCGAATATACTCGTCAGTTAAGAGGTTCCAGTACCGGAGAATGCGGGCGGTGGTGGTGGTGAATTAGGTAGTACTCCAGAGTATCTATCAGGTTGGTGTCGGCCGGATGCGGAAGGATTGGGTCTGGGTCGCAAAGGTTGGCGATGAAACCCTGACAAACGCTGTATTATCGAAAGTAGTGGATACTGGCGTGGTGAGGTTACAATTCACAATCATTGATGTCTAACCAGGCAGTGCGATTGTTCGAGAAAAGGTGGATAGACAGATGGGATGAACGACCGACGATGATTAGATAAGTGGAGTCAAACGAACGACGAAAAAAACGAAGGAAAAGAACTGAAAATAGTTAAGGAATGTCGGATAGTGTAATTGTAATAGTCGAATGATAGACGAAGTTGGATTGAAAGAGTCGAATAAAGCGAGCGGGACGGCGACACACAGTATGCCTGAGGAAGAGGAAGGGAAACAAGGGAAGGGATAGACCAGGAAGCGGATGGGGAGGGATTCCTTAGTGTCTCCTCACTCCCTTTAGAAAAAGCGGAACAGAAAAGAAAAGAAAAAGATGACTCGCTCCCTCAGACAAAGGGAAACCCAGTCTGGAATTGCGACGAGAGATGGGAACGAGCGGAAGGAAAGAGAAAGAAGAGAAAGAAGTGATGGAAGACACACACTTGATTTTCTACTTCCCGACTTTCTTTCTTGAAGGAAGAGAGAGAAAGAGAGAGGGAGGGAGGGAGGAGAAGGGGAGAAATGGAAGACCCGCCTGGCCGCCGGTGGAGAGAGAGAAGAGAGAGGGAAAGAGAGTTGATGCCTGAGTCAGCAGCAGATTATGCCGCCGGGTGGGTCTTACCGTACCGTTCGTGGTATTTTTGGACTTTGCAGCCGTGGAGTCGCAGGTAACGGTTCGAGACCCTGGATTTACCTCTAGCAGTACTTAGTTAGGTAGTCTTAGCAGAGGTAGTACCTATGTGGTTATAGGTAGTAGTATTAGACAAAAAGAGAGATATCGAGGGAAACTAAGAGAGACCAAAGAACAAATCCCAAATCAAAATAAAGAAGACATGCATTACCTACTCCGTATGCCTCCCCTAACTCGCTCCGGTGACCAGTCCTTCCCCTCTCTCTCCTTCCATCTCTCTCATTCTCTCGTGCTAAGACGGACTTTCCCCCAGTCCCAGCGCACGCGCGTCCCTCAGGGGGTTGGCTTCTGGGCCCCAATGCGGTTGATTTTACGTCCTGTCCACCTCTTCCCGCTTCTGATTTGCTCCCAAGCTCATCATCGGGACGGCCAAGATTTCATTTTTTGGCGCCCAAGAAAAATGGCTGGTAAGCAGGTGATTCTTCTGCCAGATGTTATTATTTACTCCATGGTTATTGATTGAAGCCAAGGGCCCGATGTCACTCTTCCAACTTCCGGTCGAGTCAAAGCCAATAGGAGCCACGACAAGAGAGACATAAAGTGAGGATGGATCATCCTTCCCTGCCACACATCTTGTCTGCCTGTGTGTTTGGGAGGATTTTCGACTGTCGACTTGGCTTCCTCCTTGAGGAATAGGTTCTTAGGAGTTCGAGGAAATCGACTCCATCCGTTAACCGCCCGCCCCCCGGGTCCCGCCATGGAGAGACAAGACACGCCGACTACTTGCATATGCGATGTTTGATGATTTTATTCTATCCTTCTGCCTGCCAGACTGCTATTAATAACAGATTGCATGATACTCCGCGGCAACTCAATCTGCACAGTCGCTCTGTCAGCAGCGGGAAGCTCTCGGTGGGTTTCATACTGGAAAGATAGTGCTGCGTACTCCGTACATGCGTGGGATTATTGCATACACCGTATGCACTCCATCTTTCTCTCCCCGGACAGAAGAAATGCCAAATTCCAGGTCGAAGGTCGAAGATTGCCACCACTCCGTCACTCCCGCCAATCTCCGTCGCTACAAGAACACTAGTATCCGTATTTACTACTTACAGGTCTCTGCAAACGCTTGCCTAGGACCTAAATTCAAGACGAAGGATGAGGACTCCCCGTACCTATCATACAAGCAGTACGGGCGAATACGGGCACATCAAATGCGATCAACACAAACGCTACGGTAATACCTGCGAGGACTTCTCACTTCTCAGGGACGCGCCTTATGCAGGGTATATGCTACATGCAGAGGGCTTACTCTTAAACCGACCGCAACATATACCCCTCAAGTATTGAATCTTGAAGCAACAGAGCATGTGATGGGTTCAAACTCCAAAATCCAAACTCACAGGCAAATACTCGTATTGTTCGTGAGAGAGCGACTACTCCGTAACGAAGCGCCCCACGTCGAATTAGGTGCGAAGGTTAAATGGGCGAAAGACCGCGGCCTTGGCGCTTGCTCACTCGCCGCGTTGCACTTTTCTGTGCCTTTTGCACAGCCCCCTGGGAGGAGCCTTCGTCGCTCCTCCCTTTTGACTCGGTAAAACAGGAGTGTCTCGCTTTAAATACGGCCATTGGATTCTTCTCACCATTGCCACTCTTCTATACCGCACAGATAGATGCTCATCGTGTAAACAATTTCCTACTCTCACCCACAATGGAGATCATTCACCCCTGATCAACGACAACGACAGCAGTCAGATCACCGGCGCTCTCGCTGGAATGCGCGTCATGACGTCGGGGCCCAGTGATCATCTCTACTCCGTTCCTGAAGGAATTTCATCGACGGATAAGCATTTTGGTGTCGTTTCACCTGGGTAAATCCCCGTCCCCTATCCTCTCCATTAGCCAGAAACGGGTCAGAAAGAAGAAGAAGCAACAGAAAAAGAAAAAGAAAAAAAAAGCGACCTGCAACAACTCTCACCCGAGCCTTTGATTTCAGGAGATCTGTCCCCTGGCCGGCTGCCTTCGAACCATAGGCGGCCGTCCTATTTTTGGCACGCCGGGAAGGGATTAGGCCCTGTACTGCATGAGTGTATGAGTGTACCAAACGTACACACAGTCTTGACTCCTTGCCCACGATGGCGTTGTCACTGAACTGTTTCACATTTTAATATTTTTTCAATCTATGTTTTGGATCGAAATGGTCTGTGGCTTCTAGCTAATCTCACATTTGGGGTCTTGTGTTCGGTTGGAGTGTACTCCATACCAAGACCCGACCTACCACCAGGTAGCAGCGTATTTTATTCTCCTGACCTACCAGACCAGACCACATGACCGGGCACATGGACTCTGGCACTGCCCGATCTGACAGCCTGACATGAACTACACTTGGAGGTATTTTCTTGGACGTGCATACTTGGAGGTACTTGCTAGGAACCAACATTCCCAGATACAGGGTATCATCTGACTCTTTTGTTTGGGGGCTTTACTAACTAGTGCTCGCTCATTTCTATCCTCAACTCTTCCTTCCGGATCCAGTCGGTGGTCTATTGAAAGACATCGGTCAAGTCTAGCGGTCAGCGCCCGGGATCCAACGTCTGCGGGCACAGAGAGTGACTGGATTCTTCGCAATTTCTTCCTCGCTTTCATGATTCACTTTACGATGGCCGACCCTTCCGCAAACCCCGCTAGCCAGCTTCCGGCATTCGATAGTGCAATGCTGGTTTCCATATATGTCCAAATGGGACATTACCTCCGTCGAACACAAACCAGCATCTTCACATGAAATGAGACAAGACTTCAATCCGTGCGCTTTCGCCACTAGGAGGGGACCAAGAATGACATATCTCCGAGTGGCCCGCCCGGTGCGAGTGACATATCAGATGCGTAGACTAAGACTTTGTCGGTTTTGCGCTGGGCATATTATTGGAAACTCAATGCCTATGGTCCCATATAATATGCACCTCTGTAAAGGGTTCGAGGCTTTATTTTCTGTACACCTGAAGATCAATGGTGGTCTCGATGCCTTAGGCTCTGGGTTGTGCATATAGACAACAAGTCCCTTGGAAGCTTCATGACTTGTGAAATGTTGCGGTGAATGCTCTCAAAAGTTTCACCATTTGACTGCTGACATTCAAATTAGAACACGTAGGGAGAAGCTCGTCTTACATGACAGTCAATTATTCAATCATTTTGATCATTAATGGTCTACTTCGGCATCTATTATACCTACGTAGCTCAACATTTAGTCCATTCTTAATAGAAAATTCATGATTCTAACTCAGTATTATTATCTACGTTACCAAGCTAGTTAATCAGACAACTCCAAACCACTCCATTGACCAAACAGATGGCATCCAAAACGTGCCTACCATATCCGGAAGGTTGATGCCTGTTAATGCCTGGGAAAAGATTCTCTGACCGCCCGGCCCTATCAGCGGCTATCAGCACGTGACCGCGGAGGTCGATATTTTCTTCCCGCAAAATCGGCCAAAAATTATGGAGCGACGGCGATAAAGAAAAACTTTTTTCCATACGTTGACGAGCTTGCCCGTGCTTCGCCATTTGTCTCCAGGGAAGCAATTCTAGCGTCTAGAGTTTGTTTGATTCTAGAGGCTTCTTTGTATCTTTTTTATTATTATTTTGTTTTGTTTTCTGATTGAAGATTCAATTCAATTGAGTTGGGTCTGATCTGCCTATCCGAGGACGGAAACTTTTTTTTTTTCTTTCACTCAACCGCTGACAGTCGTCCCTCTGCACTCGATCGCCGAAAATGCCGATTCCCGTGGATACCGCGAAGTCGATTACGAAGAAGCGCAAGAGAAAGCATGGAGGTAGTGCGCGCGCCGCCGCCGCCGAGGAGGATGTGCCCGCGACGCCTGCGGCCGTGAGCGAGACTCCCGAGAAGGAAGTGACCTCCGCGAAGAACAAGAAGAAGAGCTCTGCCAAGGAGGCGACCTTGAAGAAGCGCAAGGTGGAGAAGCCGGTCAGCGAGGGCGAGAACGACAGCGACGAGGGGTCGGATGAGGATGCTGCTCCCGCTCAGGACGACGAGGATAGCGACGCTGAGGAGGAAGAGGAGGAGTCTGCCGGTGACGCTGAGGATCTTCCCTCGGCAGACCCTGTTAGTCTGCCGCAGGTGGAGGGAGAGCCGCAGAAATTCACGGAATTGAATCTGTCGGATAAGACGATGAAGGCGATCCAGGAAATGGGCTTTGAGACTATGACTGAGATCCAGCAGCGTGCTATCCCGCCGTTGCTTGCTGGTCGGGATGTCCTTGGTGCTGCGAAGACTGGCTCCGGAAAGACTCTATCGTTCTTGATTCCTGCGATCGAGATGTTGAGCTCGTTGCGGTTCAAGCCGAGAAACGGTAAGTTGAGGCTCTATGGGTGATTCTGGTCGTGTCGCGGTGGCTTACATGTTTGTCGTATACAGGTACCGGTGTTCTCATTGTTTCCCCCACACGCGAGTTGGCCTTGCAAATATTCCAGGTGGCCCGTGAACTTTGCCAGTTCCAGTAAGTGCTATACCCACCGGTGTTGGATTGTGCCCCGGGCTGACTTGGAAAACTTAGTTCTCAAACCTACGGTATTGTCATTGGAGGCGCCAACCGAAGGGCGGAGGCCGAAAAGCTCATCAAGGGTGTCAACCTGCTTGTTGCGACGCCGGGACGTTTGCTGGATCATTTGCAAAACACCCAGGGTTTTGTCTACAAGAACCTGAAGACGCTGGTCATCGACGAGGCGGATCGTATTCTGGAAGTCGGTTTCGAAGATGAAATGCGCCAGATCGTCAAGATTCTGCCCAACGATAACAGACAAACCATGCTGTTCTCCGCCACCCAGACCACCAAGGTTGAGGATTTGGCGCGGATATCTCTCCGACCGGGTCCTTTGTACGTGAACGTGGACCATCGCAAAGAGCACAGTACCGTGGAAGGTCTGGAGCAAGGCTACGTTCTCTGTGAGGCCGATAAGCGCTTCCTGCTGCTCTTCTCTTTCCTGAAGCGCAACGCGAAGAAGAAGATCATTGTTTTCTTCTCCAGCTGCAACTGCGTCAAATACCATGCCGAGCTCCTCAACTACATCGATCTACCCGTGCTTGAGCTGCACGGAAAGCAGAAACAGCAGAAGCGAACCAACACGTTCTTCGAATTCTGCAACGCCAAGTCCGGTACCCTTATCTGTACTGACGTTGCCGCTCGAGGTTTGGATGTATGTTTCACTGCCCCTTGATCGTTTGCTACGAGATATCTAACCGTTGACTAGATTCCTGCCGTGGACTGGATCATCCAGTATGACCCCCCTGATGACACCAGAGATTACATCCACCGTGTCGGTCGTACGGCGCGTGGTAAGGACGGAAAGGGTCGTAGCTTGATGTTCTTGCAGCCGTCGGAGGTCGGTTTCCTGAAGCACTTGAAGGAGGCCCGAGTTCCTGTCGTTGAATTCGACTTCCCCGCCAACAAGATTGTCAACGTCCAGTCTCAGCTTGAGAAGCTGATCGAGCAGAACTACTACCTGAACAAGGTGAGTTTCAATCCTCCAACGAGTTTCTAAAGCCTAATCTATCTCATCTCAAATAAAATGCTAACTGCCCGACCAGTCCGCCAAGGAAGGCTACCGCTCATACCTCCAGGCCTATGCCTCGCATTCGCTGCGGTCCGTCTTCGACGTGCACAAGATCGACCTCGTCAAGGTGGCGAAGGGCTTCGGATTCTCCACACCGCCTCGCATCGACATCCAACTCGGCTCCAGTCTCAGCCGGGACAAGAAGCAGCAGCAACAAGGCCGACGAACCTACGGCAGTCAACCCAAGGGATTGAAGTTCAAGCGGAAGCACGAGGATGATTAATTTCACCCCAGCGGAGTGGTTGCGTGTAAAGTTAGTAGAAGAAAATAATGGCTTTTTTTGAAACTGTTTCTTTTTTTACGTCAGAGTGACCTGAGTTTTGTACCGGAGTTCAGAGCCTTTGTGGATATCACTACCTACCTTTTCCTTTTTTCTTTTATTTTTCTCGCCGATGGTTGCCTTCATCTCTCTTATCTTGTCTGCATACTCCGTGCGATGTGTTTGCATTAAGAATTTAGAAAAAGTTTTCTTTTCTTCTTATTTCCCTACTCGCTCAAGATATTTGTGGTATAGACCCCACAAATACTTCAAACTCGATCAACCCTTCTTGACTCGCACAAAGTAAAAGAAAACTAAAGAGGTCACCTAGGATTCCCCCGCTCAGACCCGTTTCAAAGTAACACTCGGTGTCTTTCTCGGCTTCTTCCTCTCTCACTGCATCAAACAGATTGCAGGTTACCAGAAGCAAGGGGATGAAAAACCGTGCTTATGCGTACAGGCAAGGAAGGAAGGGTGAGATGGATGGGGGAAGCACCTTGTTTGTAGGACTTTCCTTTTCTTTTTCTTTTTGCCTCCTGTGGCAATTATAGTTTAGCGATATGGAGAGTTTGGATATTCTACCTGTGATGTTTATTTAGGTCTTATGCTGACATTTTATATACATATATCTAATCAGAGCTGCGAGGTTGAGATCTCAATGAAGAGATCTGAGGTCAGACATGAATCATCTGTGATGACACAATTAAATCCAACTCCTTCATTCTCGCACAACAAGGGGAAGAACCGAGAGAGGGAGAGTTACACAAGACCGGGAAGATTCAGGTTTTCTTCGGCCGAATGTGAGACTTCAAGATGAGGACTTGTAAGTATGTGTGTATGTGTGTATGTGTATGTGTGGAAGAATGGAAGATCTGTTCTTGTTTGCGATGATAGGCACTGCTTCTTCTGCTGCTGCTTCTACAGACCTATGTCTTCTTTAAGTGTGTTCGGACGGATATACTTAGGCATGCAACCGGGCAGTCCTACAGACATCGTGTAGCACCGCGCATGAGCCGGATAATGTACAGATTAAATCGAAGCAGGTAGAGGCTTCCAGCCTTAACTAGCTCCCTTCCATTCGCAGTCTCCAATCGGCCTACATGAGCTAAAAGTACGGAACGGAAGATGATGTAGTTGTACATACATTGTCCACTCCCGAATCGAGTCGAAGGAACCAAGGAAAGAGGAGGATTCGTACCACGGTACGAGGATGTGCTTATTTTGTTTATTTTTCATTTACTATGCAATGTTCACTTCGACATCGACATCACATCACATCAGATTCTTTAGCAAGCAAGCAAGCAAGATCCAACAAATCCTCCGTCGATTTACACTGCGAGCAAGGACCGGTGGCTGGTCTTGGTGGCTGGGAAAGGATCCACCGCAACTCTGATCCAGTTCAACGAAGGACCCTGCCGCCAACGAGTTACTTAAATAGTGAATTAGTCGAGCTAGAGACCAGAGCTAGTGAATTTAGTTTTACTTCCTCACCAACATCTCTTTCACTTCTTCCTTTTCTTCCTTTTTCCTTCCTTCATCCCGGAAAAAAGAAAAACGCACGTAGAGGGGGAAGGAAGCGACAGAAAAGAATTAGTTAGGTATGATTTTTCCCTCCCCGGTCCAGCCGGGATAGGAAGAAAGGCATCGTGCGACCCAATCAACGCAGCTGGCCGAGCTGGTGGAAGGATGGATGTGATGAGTTGGCAGGTGCAGAGCCAATGGATGCCGATGTGAAGGGTTGTGATCGGTCGTCCCGGAGACCAATGCAACTTTGGGCTTGGGTCGGTCTAGTCGGCTGAGATCCATTCGGGGCCTTGGAGGGGGACGAAAGGGATCCACCGAGTGAGGGGGGAAGAAGAAGAAGAGGTGAGATTGGAGATATTGGGTTCCTGGATGATTTTTTTTTTCTTGCCTTGCTGGATGCCAGAAAGTGGCCCTCCCCTCCGGTTTCGATGATTTGTATCATTGTTGGGAGAGAATCTGATGGATCAGAGTATACCTACGCGTAGAACAGCACATCCCCCGTGCCATGATTCGGATGTGTTTCATCGAGACTCCTGCTTGGGAGAGAAAGCAACACCTGGGAACTCCCAGAGTACTCCGGGTAGATTAATCACACAGGTCATATTTCCGGATCATTGGAGGTATAAATATCTCCGAGTGCGGCTCCTTGCCTGCGATGATTGACAGAGGGGAAATGAAGACACGACGAGGTTGATTTCGATCTCGCTACTGGCGACGGTCTGCTTAATTTATTTCATCTCGACAAAACCTAGGGCAACGCAGGAAAGGGATCCGGCGCCTTGCATGACGTTGAACCTTTGGGCTCTCGAGGGACGTGAGGGATGGGAATTGGAGCCTTAAAATAATGGTGATTTCCTGTCACGATCCTAACACTGTAATATGTAGGCCACATAAATAATAATCCTAACCATAATCCATAATAATCCTAATCCTGATTAGCAGATGCGATCAGCAGCAATTTCCTTTTTACCTTTTCCTACCTTTCCTACCTTAAAAAATAAAAGAACAAGGCTGGGCGATGGTTTTGCAACGGGGCTGCGTTTGTTGTCGCCGCTAAAAGTGACCAGCGCATCTCGCCCTCTTCTTCTCTCTTGATTTCTGTCTTTCTGTCTCGGTCCCTTATCCGCGCTCTCCCTCGCTCTGCCAATCCGGTCGTCCCCAGCCCTCGTCTTTTTGAATCGTTCGGACTCCGTAAGCTCTTCCCATCGGCTGCCTTGGTTCTTTGCTTTTCTTTCGGTTTTTCCTTTTTCTTTTTTTTTTTTTTTTTTCTCCCCCTTCTCTCTAACAGTTTCACCCTTTTATTTTTATATTCTTTTTTATTTTTTAATTCCTTTTACCATCCTCGCCCTGTTCCTGTGGCTCTGATTTGATCGGAATCGAGGTTTGTTCTAACCAATCTGGCGGTGTCGCATCGTGACATTAGGCATGACCTTGTGAATTGTCCGACAGGCCGGTTGGATTCCTTCACCGTCCCTCCGTTGTTCCTCAACTTTAGGCGACTGCGACTGCCGACAGTCACGGCCAACCATTCCGGTCGCTCTTCCATCTCGTCGTCTGGCGTTAGTTAAGGTACCAGGCAGACTGGCCGCAAAGTAAAAGTGAGGGATCGGCGGCTGAAATCGACTTGCTGCATTTCACATCCACCACGCCTCTCGCGCTCTCTCCCGACACCTGTCTGACCTTCCTTCCTCTCTTCTTTCTTGCAATAACTGCTTGGTGTTCCTGCACAAATCTATTCTTCGTGACGGTACGCTCTCTATCTTTCCTGCTTTCGCTCTTTTGCCTTCTTACCTACCCTGCCATCTTGCCTCCTTCCGACCCACGAGTTCCCCACATTCCTCGTCTGTCCCTATTTCAACCTTCAACTACTGCATATCGATTGTCCGATCGGTAGTGACCTTCCTATCCGTTAGCAGCCTGGAGGTTCCCGTTCCAGACGCTGGTCATCCTTCCAGATTTAAATAATCTTTCCCTTTTGCCCGCTTTCCTGTTTCCCCTGAAAAAAACAAGACCAATTTCCATACCCCCGAGAAGCAAGACAAGGATCAACGAACGATTATATCGTACAAGAAACAGAAGAGGAGAGAATCACAAGAAAAAAAAAAAAAAAAAAATTCCAAGAGACTATGGTCTCGTCTGGGTGAAAATCAAGGGCCGCTCACATCCTCCGTCATGGGTGTCGATACGCGCAGACCGATCTTGCCCGCCCCCACTGAATCCATAGTCGACACAACCACTGGCGAGAGTACAACAGGGACTGATTTGGCAACTGACGTATCTCGACGCACAGACAAGACGTCGTATTCGATTCCCGACGACGGGAGTCCTGTTACCATCCCCACTCAGCGCAGGCACTGTGCCCACGGCGACAATTCCAAACTGTCCCGTGCGGAGCAACACTCCCAGACCTCCCTGCTCATCGAATACTTCGAGGGCGGGAAGGGTTCTGGCTCCCTGGTCTCCCGTCCCAGTGTCCGAGTCCGGGTCACTCCTTCGTCTTCCAGGAAGTTGAAGGACCAGGATCATCATATCCAGATCACCGAACACGGCAGCGGCCGAAACCCCACATATTCGCGTCGCATCTCTCTCAGCTCGCCTCCCCGAGCCAAGTCGCAGCCGAAAGAATACGGCATTGATGAGTACAGCGTTAGCTCCCAATCCGCTTCCGATGACCAGCGTCTCCCTGGCCGTTCCCCCGTCGAAATTGAGCTCATGAATCGTGACCAGGCCAGCGAGCTCTCCACCATCTCTCGCGACAGATACTTCAACCCTACCTCGGATATTTCGTCTATGCCCGCGGATTCCATGCTAGAAGCCCCCTCTTCTGGTCCCCGACGAAAACGCAGTTCCAGTTTAGAACGAGAGCAGAGCTCCGACGCGAAATCCTACCTCAAAACTCCCAACCGCAAGAGAAGTCGCAGTTTAAGCGCCGAACGCGTTGCCCATCGGGTTGTTGAGAAACTGAGCCACGGTCCCCGTGAGGCCGCCGCCAACAATAACCCCCTGGGCAAAGGCCAGCAGCAGCGCGCAGCGTATAACAACAACAGAGACATCGGTGACTTCCAAGAATCCGATCCCAAATCTCCTCGACGACGATTCGCCGCGTACCGTGGTGACGACGAAAATATGAGTCCCGAATCCAGCCTGTTGAGCGCTTCGGCGCTGTCCTCGCATCGCAAATCCGGGGACCAGTATTCCTTCAAATCAGGCACTTCTAAATCATCTATCAACAACCCCAAACTCCTCGAAACCGTCGAAGATGCCATCCGACGGCTGATCCTCCCCGAACTCAAAGAACTAAAGAAGGATCAAAAGGTGATGACCAACACCTCCAAGTTTGAACGTGACATCAGTGCTTCCTACTCCCCCGCCAGCTCCCCGTCCCGGGACGAACTGGGCCGACGGCTCTCCAAACATGCCAGTGCCCCCGACGTCAGAAAGCCCAAGGTGGTCCTCAACAAGGACAGCCAAGAAGAAGGTATTGTCCTCTCGGGTGATTCGGTCCCGTCGCAGCGTGAGCGAAGGCCCAGTAGAGACAGCGAGATGACCAGCGATACAAGTCAAATCAAATGGGGATCTCGTCCCGAACTGACCGAACAGGAAAAGTTGCGCCGACAAAGGAGCAGGGGTCTCCGTGATGCCGAAAAGGCGGGTCGTGTGGGAAATGCCCTGACGGCTGCCGCTCTCAAGCACCACGACTCGCGATCGAGCATCGATAAGAATGAACGACGTCGGCCGAGTGGTCCCCGAAGTCGAACTGGAAGTGTCAATGAAACGGAGCTGGTCTTCCAAAAACACAACGTGGCGCCTATGCCCCTTCGCAGCGCCATCGAATCTGAAATGACAAGGGATTCGCTGCTTTCAGAGCAAACCCGCGAGCCTACAGAGCTCAGTGACAATCGATATGCCACGCAGGAAGTGTCTCGCGGGTCGCCGAGGCAGATGACTTCGCCCACTTCCCGCGCTCCAAACCGTGACCCCATAGACTCGCGCTACGACCTCAAGCACAGCAACATGTCCAGTCACAACCTGTCGATCCACAGCGCCTCAGACCATGATGATCGCGAGCAAAGCTACTCGCCCGTCGGAGATGCCGCTGCCGGGGCCATCGCGGCGGCGGCGGTGGCGAACCTCCTAGGCGTGTCCGAGCACGAGACCGGGTTCAATGACCGTCGACGCACACTCAGCCCGATTCAAAGCGTCGCGAGCTACCAGAGCGAACCGCACGTCAAGCAGGACTCGACTCGCCGTGATGGTCAGGCGAACTCGGCGGACGAAAGAGGTTTGGAACAACGTTTGTCCATCGACTCCCTTTCCTCCGCTCCAAGCACTAATCTCGCGAGATCGACACGGCCAGAATACACAAACCAGAGTGATTTCCTACGACATCGCCATGACGATGATTATGATGATCACGATCTCGGCTACGAGTCAACCCCTGTGGCTTCCCCGCGCAATCGGAAGTGGCACGAAGAGGAAGAAGATGACTACGACGATGATCACCACCAAAACGACGATCATTACGACAACTACGAAGATGATGGCTATGCGTATCGAAACTCGATTGCCGAAACGGCGACTACCAACGATGACCCCAAAAGAATGGCCGGCTACACCGACAACAGTGAAGTCAACTTCATGGACAAGGTCAAGCAAGGTCACCCTGTTGCGGGCATTGGGTCCAACCCTCAATATGTCCATCCCTCGACGGTGGAGTCCGCCGTGGCCTCTCTCCTTGATCCTACTATACTGGGGGGCAAGTCCGATCTGTCTGGGGCCACCCGCTCGCAGACCGAGACCGATCTTTCCCGACGGGTTGTCGAGAACCACAGCCGCAGCCCGAGCCCCAAACCCGTAGAGAGGACGGGCCAAGCACCCCCTGGGTCCCGGCACGGAAGTCCTCTCAAACAGCGTCAGGATGCCTCGAGCCCGGATGCCACCTCTTTCCCCCGGCGGATGGGCGCGACCTCCCCTCCTCAAAGCGTGACGCAGTCACTGGATGACCTGGGGCCAACTCCAAGGTTCGCTCACGAGGATTACCATGACCACGGGAGCCCCAGCCCCATGGCAGACCGCAGCCCTGATTCAGAATCAGAGATCAACACCAATCCATCTATCATTCAAGGGCCCATTGGAGGAGTCCCCCATGACCACTGGGCGGGGTATGATCAAACACCGTCTAGAGGTGATCAATCCCCTCTCTTTGACAACACGGGCGCCGCTGCTGGCAGCGCAGGCCTTGGTTTGGACCCGATGGATCATCAGCAACCCGGTTACCACCAAGACTATTACGCCAACGACTATGATCCCAGCGGTGCTGATTACTACGATCAGCAGTACCCGAGAGGGGAGTTGTTCGGCACGCCTCCCGGGATCAAGGACGAGGGTTATGTGTCGGCTGCCAATCCTCTCTCCCCCAGCAATGACACCCCCGAGCCCAAGGGATTTGGTGGCATGGGTCTTTTTGATAGTCCAACTGGTGATCAACCGCGCCAACTCAGTGGATACTCTCAGGGAGTGGGTTCGCCCTTGTATGATAGCGCAACAGGTCGAGGGATTGAGCGAATTCAGTCCAAGGATATTGTGGCACTCATGGACCACGTAAGTCTTTTATAAGTGCAACTCGGAAAGCTCTGCCTTTTGCTAACATGAAAATACAGCTTACCGTTCGTGATGCCCAGCGGAATGCTCGGGATACGGAGATTCTTGTGACTCTAGTGCGAAGCGCAGCCGAGATGCGCAACTCTTTCGAAGAGATGAAAAAATTCATTTCCCAGCAGGATGATCTCCTAATGGAGTCGAGTGACCGGCAGCATGACCGCACGTTCCGGGCCCTCGGCGGACCGCGCCCACTCCCAGCCAGCGGTGCCCGAGGCGCGCGTCAGAACTCCGCCGAAGATGGCGAAGACATGCGCTCCAAGCGAAAGAATGTGTTCAAGCGTGCCCTCAAGGGTCTGAGCCTCAAGTCTGGCAACGACTTAGGCCGCATCGAGGACATGCTGGAACAGCTTCTGGACGAGGTTGAGATCCTGCGCACCGGTCAAGATGATCAGCTCATGCGCAGAAGTACTCGAGCCCCCAGCGTGGATCCCGAGGGCTACGAACCCGATGGCCACGCCGGGACTTCTTCTGATAACCACTCCGGATATCTCTCCACTTTCTCTCGTCCGGTCCAGGAGCCGCGGGGGGTCAGCGGGAGGAGGGAACCTGAGCACCGCGTGAGTACCGTGCCGGAAGCCGATGAGGAGGACGAAGAGGAACTGGATGCCAATGGGCGAGGCGAATTCCTCAGCCCGCATCTAGCCTCAATGGAGAACTCCAAAAATCGGCATGAAAGGGCCGGGTCTGCACCGGTCTCGACACCTCCTCGAACTGTTCCTATGGCTTCGGGTGCACTCAGCAACGAAACCACGCCGAAGACGAGCGACAAAGCGCGCAAGCACAAGTCCAGCAGCTCCTCGTTCTTCCCCAAGATCTCCCGGTGGTCCAAGACTACGGCGTCATCGATGGGTGACAACATCCGAAACAGCGTGCAGCCGTCGCGCAAAGACCGGGTGTCGTTTGAGGCGTCGCGCTCTGGATCTGACGTCAACGGCCCGTACCGGGCAGGCGATTACTACGATGCCCAGGGTGATGACAGGATACGGTCCACTTACACTCTAGATGATCAACGACAGGAGAACCGTCCCCCGTCACCCCTGGTCCCAAGCCAGCTTTCCGAGGCACCGAAATATCAGGCCCATCGAGACAGTCTCGATCTCCAACATCCCCAGCCCCGGCAGGGTCCTACGGGGCGATACCAGAGTGCACTGGAAACCCAGGCACAGGCGTACGGCATCCCTGTCGATCAGTGGGGGTCCAATCCCAGCCTGTCGGGTGTCCACACCAACAACCAGCGACACAGTGGCGCCAGTCGTCTCTCTCCCATTTCGGACGCAGGGTACTCCGAGGCCAGCTCCCGCACGGGAGGGCCACCCAGGCCGCCGAAGGTTCGAGATGATGGGCCATTGATTCCCGAGCGGGCTCCTAAGAGCAGTGTTGGAGACGAGGATAGATCTTATGCGGATCGCGTTGCTTCTCGGGTAAGCATTCGCCGTGTCCTGAACCGCTTGAAGCATTTCAGTCGCTAATCATTGTCTATAGAGCTCTGCGATGCGCTCTCCTCGCAGCACGCCGCCTCCTGCCCGGAAGCCTACGGGACCTCGTCCTTTGACCTCGGGGAATCCTAACAGCCCTGGACGGCGGAAGCGAAGCTACTACCGTGGCAGCCCCGATCAGATCGACGACGAGCATGTTTATTGATTAATATTGACCAGAATTGGTCTTGAGATATTTTGTTTTTCTGTTTTACGACTTCATGATTGTTTCTTTTGGTTCTTTAACTTCTTCTACTTCCCACAGGTTATGGCCAGCGTCCGTGCATATTTGATGAGACTTGTTTTTTATTCGATGAAATGCGAGCCAGCTAAGCGATGGAAGAGAGGCTGTAAACTTGTGATTTTGTGATTTTGTGCTTCTTTTCCTTCTCATACCTTGTATCCAATTCGATGTCCACATAGTGATTCCCTTCTCCTCTGCACATTTTTTATCATGACCGGAGTTGACGAGGTCTTTAGCTGAGCGGCATAATGCTGATAATGCTGAATGAGATGATCTCGACCTGATTTATTGATTCTGTACGAAGTATGCATGCACGTATGACGAAGACAGACAAAGTTGGGGGTTTTTCTAGATGACCATCCCCACTTTTGGATTCCCCGCAGTCAACTTCTCCAATTTTTTCTATCTTTCTTATAAACCTCTCATTTTCATCTTTTTCTCTATCGATGATCAACTTCCAGTGATATGACCATCTCATCCAACATGACCGACCCTTTAGACCTCATCATCTGCACCGCCTGCGGCATCCAATACCCCACCTCGACAGCGCCCGCTTCATGTAAAATCTGCGACGATCCACGCCAATACCTCCCACCGACTGGGTGAGTATCCTTACCCTCCTATATAACTTTCCCGCATTCCCTCAAATCCTAACAATATTGAAAAAAAGCCAAACATGGACAACCCTCCGCACCCTCCAAACCGCCACCGACACGACTAACTCAAAGAAATACACCAACATCTTCACGCCCTCCAAAAAGCACCCCTCAACACTCATCTCCATCCAAACAGCACCCAAACTCGCCATCGGCCAACGCGCCCTCCTGTGCCGTCTGCCCTCAGGAAAGAACATCCTCTGGGACTGTCTCACGTACATTGACGACGAGACGGTGGATAAGATCAACGAGCTGGGCGGTCTGCATGCGATCGTCATCTCGCATCCGCATTATTTTTCGACGCATTTGGTCTGGGCGGAGAGGTTTGGTTGTAAGGTCTACATGTCTGTTGAGGATGAGGAGTGGGCGGTTAGGAAGGGGGAGGGGCAGGTTTTTTGGGAGGGGCAGGAGTTGAATCTAGGTTTGGATTTGCCTTTAGGGTCACGGTCTTTGTCACGAGCTGAGGCGGATATCGTGGCGATTAAAACCGGGGGCCATTTCCCGGGGAGTTCGGTGCTGTGGTGGAAATCGAAGCGGTCGTTGATGGTGGCGGATACGATCTTCGTGGTGCCGAGTGGAGTGTATCATGTTGATCGAGAGCCTGGGACGACTTCGTTTTCGTTTATGTGGTCGATTCCGAATATGGTATGTCCTTTCTTTGCTTTTTGCTCAGCCTCTCCTCTTATTTAGGCTTGGTGTTGACGATGCTAGATTCCTCTTCCTCCGGGTGAGGTGCATAATATCTGGAAGGCGATTGCGCATACCGACTTCGACGATACCTATGGGGCTTTCCCCGGATCGGAAACATACGGCAACAGCAGGGAACGCGTGCTGGAAAGTGCCAAGATTATAGTCAAAGCAATGGGATACCTAGATCACGCGATTCATCAGGAAGTGTGCTAATGAAGTCTTAATTGAAACGACGCTAATGCATACTGAACTTTTTATGTTATACAACGAATCATGACATCAGGGTCAGATGGAAATCTGCCAGTTATTTCTGCTCGATGGTACAGGTAGTGCAGGTAAAAATAAATATCTCCAAAAGCATGGATCCTAAAAGTCAAAGACGAATACCACAGGATATGGTTTCGGTCTACACCTCGGAAAACGGTCTCACCGAAGTAGCACTTCGGATGCGCACGCCACGCCGTGTCGAATCCGACATGTCCATCGCTCCCAGCTCCAAACCGTCGGCACTCGCGTACCGGTCATCGGCGGATCGCCAGAGTTTCAGCCTCTTCCTCTCCTGAACCAGTTGAGCCTCGGTCAGGCCGTGGTGTCGTCGCAGGGAGATAGGATGCGCTTCGACATCCGTGACAGGGTACTGGGCGATCCAATTGACCGTGCGGTGACGGTTGAGTGCACCACCATAATCCGAGCGAGTCTGAGTGGCCTCGGTAGCTCGATCATATGCAACAGAGGTTGAAGGGTTCAGAATCGGACGAGTGAAAGAGCTGCCATCAATTCTCGGGACAGTGCCTAATATTCCGCGCTCAAGCTCGTTTCCCTCGACTCTCAACTTCTCCGACGAAGAGTCGGGCTGTGCAGTCGACCCGGTCGAAGCAAGACGCACCAACGGACTCGGAGTCAAATTCGCCCCGTTCCCTACCTCTGATGTCAATTCATCGAGCTTAAGATCCCCCTCCTGAGCCACACGCATCGAGTCATTGACTGGATCCTGAGGCATCGGCGACACCACCCTAGACATAGGCACAGGCCCACCAGTTACAGGCACAGGTCCACCCCTGACGATAGCTCCAGTCCCTGCCCCAGTTTCCGCTCCACTTTCGGGTCCATTCCTAGGCACATGGTCTCTTTCCGCCGGTTCATCAATCGCAGTATCGTATCTGAAAAACGTCGCTAAGAGGACCTCGGTGATCAGCAGTTCCCGCCGAGAGATGGCCCAACGCAAGGGATTCGTGGATTCCGCTTGAGGCCCGTTGATGACGCGGATGATGACGGTCGCAACATGCAGGAGCTTGAGGACGATGAGGTCATAGATGAGTCCGATGACTTGGCTGCTGGAGATGATGTTGGGGTTGTAGATGATGTCCCGGTCTTGGGGTCTGTTTGTTTCCATGATGGGAGTGAGTTTTGGTTGAGATGATGATGGTTAGGGATAAGGTATAGGATGGTGGAAGAGTCATATTTTGGCAGGATGAGGGAGAGGGATAAGATGAGGAAGAGGCTGTTTGCGAGGAAAGAGCGATAGGGACTTCCATACCATAACACAGACAAACGGTCGTCACACGGGATCTTGCGAGCCCTAACTGATGCTTACCCCCTAGGAGCAAGACATGTCAGCAGATAAAGGACAGTCACATCTTCTTCTCCCTCCATACTCGACGCTAAATCAGTAAACCTATTTTGTAGACTAAGAACAAGATAACTCAAGGAATAGATTGATGGCACCACCCACACCCGCCAATCCACATCCCGCAGCAGATCCACCCCGCCAACTCTTTCCGTCGATCATTCATCACCTTTCCTCAACCTCATCTTATCTATCGGCTTCACTCTATTCTAGCAGCAGCATTATTCCGCACTTGATAATCCGTATCTTATGATCTTCCCCCGGAGTTTGAGATCACTTCCGCGCCGACTCATGTCTTCTGCTCCGGTTACCGGCGGAGCAAGCTCCCCTCTGCGTCAACGACGGTTCGCACCGCTTGATCCGCAACTTCAGTCGGGGTCATCAGGAGCGCCAATTCTCAAGGGCATAGTATTTGACGTTGATGGAACACTATGGTCTGTTTTTTCTTCTCTTGCTTTAAATTTACTTAGCGGTTTCAGGAGAAAAATTAACCTAGGCACCTTGAAAGTCTACCACAGAATTACATGTTTGCTGAAATGCGGTACGTACACACATACATGCATACATAGATACATGTCCTCCTATCAATTTACTTGTTCCATTCTCTACACTTTCGTCTATCGTGTTGCAAACAGTAAAAATCCCCACACTAACACCCAGCAGATCAGCCCTTGGCATCTCTAAGTCCGTCGACATCTTGCACCACATCCAGCGCCTCCCCACAGCCGAGGAGCGTGAAATCGCGGCCGAAAAGATCCGGACCGTCGAGCGCCGCGCCATGCAGCATCAGCAGGCGCAACCGGGGCTCGTCGAGTTGATGGATTATTTGCAGAAGAGGGGGATTCCGCGGGCTTTGTGTACGCGGAATTTTGAGTATGTTTTTCTTCTGCTTCTCTGTCCTTTCCTTCCACTTCCCTTTTCCGTTTGCTTGTACATAATAAATTAATAGTGGATGTCGGTACTAAATATGTTGACAGGGCACCCGTCACCCGGCTCCTGGAGAATTTCCTCCCAGAACATGCCTTCTTGCCTATCATCACGCGGGAAACGCCTGGGTTGATGCCGAAGCCCGATCCTGCTGGGGTCTTGTATATAGCCACTGAATGGGGCTTTGAGAACCGGGCGGAGAACTTGATTATGGTGAGTTGTTATCAGTACAATCCGGTCGGATATTGGTAATTCAAAAGGGAAAGGAAGAGACTAATATGATGTTTAGGTAGGAGATAGTATCGACGACATGACGGCTGGTCACACCGCTGGCGCAGCAACAGTCTTACTGGCAAACGAATTCAACGCCCATTTGAAGGATCATGAGCATACGGATATTTGGGTTGAACGGTTAGACGATTTGATTGGGATTCTGGAACAAGGGTTTGTTGGACATAGAGGAGCCAATTAGCTGTATAGACGCGATTGTTCCGATTTTAACCCGAAAGAGCAATTCGGCTTACCACCTTGGTCTAATCCTGTTATTGTAGATGCAACTAGATTGAAAATAAAATGTCTAAACTGCCACAGGAAGGGATCGTTTCACGTGATGCGGCAGGCTTGCTGAGATCAGTACTTCCGTATGTACATTCGGCCGGAACCTTCCTCGACAAAAACACCATAATGCATCCCCTGCGGTTGAGTTGCATCCCTCGGCGGCTTCCACCGCGTTTCCTGGCTTTCCGATACTTTACAACAGCCCAAAAAGTGCAATCCGCGCCTATACCCCTGTGGAAAGCCACAGAAGACGGTTCAGGTGATTCCCAAATCTCTGGGTAGCCATCCTAGAAACTAATTTGGATGATAGAGGTGCGGGTCGACGAGGCCGACCTATACAAATACCAACGATATAGGTGGCTGTATGCGATATATCGGACCGTGTCTATACGTGACTAATGGCTCTTAGGACCGAAGAACCTTGCAAGCTTGCCATGCGCTACCGTAAATTCAACTTGCAGGCGCTGGTGGCTGCATCTGTTCAGGCGAGCGGAAATGAAGGAAATGAATGTAGTAATTATACCATCGCCCAAATATCGTAAGCTGACCTGTTGACTTATAGGTGTCAAGCTTCTCAAGTGTGTGGAAGGGCAATTCAACAAAGCCTTCGTATTGACAATGAGCTCCGGCGATGAGATGGTCGCTCGATTACCCAATCCCAACGCAGGTCCAGCCTTCTTCACGGTGGCGTCAGAGGTTGCGACCCGCCATTTGGTAGGTGAGATTGCTTGCTACGAGTTCCTTCTAAGAACTGACACGATACGAAGCTGCGGGGTTTCTTGGGAATTCCCATCCCTCGTATCTATACCTGGTCAGCAGAGACATCTAACCCGGTAGGCGCTGAGTATATCATCGAGGAGAAAGCTACCGGCCAGCCATTAGGGAACCTCTGGAATGGGCTACCCCTCTCAGGACGCCTGGAAATCGTGGATCAAATTGTGGCCCTGGAGAAAAAGCTCGCGTCGATTGCTTTTCCAAAGCACGGATGCGTATATTACGAAACTGACCTACAGTCAAGGCCATGCAGTTATGAGCGGCTTAGCTCCACTACTACATCGTCGCTCGGTCATAAGAGCAAGCTGCCTAGCTTTACTATCGGGCCGTCAACCAATCCAAGGCTTTGGGAGGGGGAACGGATATCAATGAATCTTGATCGAGGGCCATGTATGCTTCCTCGATGTAGGATGGTCCAGTTTGAAGCCTAATATACGTACAGGGAACAACGCTACCGATTACGCTACAGCAATTGGGAAGAACGAAATCGAATGGGCAACGTCACACGCAACTCCAAGGATGAATTTCCACCGATCAATGGAACACAATGAAACGCCAGATGATTATGTTTCGCTCCTCACACGCTATCTAGCCGTCGCTCCCTACCTGGTGTCCAGTGCAATGAGCACAGATTATGCCAATAGGATCTCCCACCCAGACTTGCATCTTGATAACATCTTTGTTGACCCCCAGACAAACAAAATCACCCACATAATAGACTGGCAGCTCGCTTGTGCTTCTCCCGTCATGATGCAACGGCTCTGCCCGCAAATGCTGGAACTGTCAGCTCTGAAGCACTCGGGTCAATACGAAACCGAGAAACTGCTTCTTGACCACTACTGTGATGCAGTTAAGGAAGCAGACCTGCAACGGTGGAAAGTTCTCTGCGAACCATTGTTCACGGTTAGGACCGACCCTATTCATTTGGTACCTGGCTGTTGGGACCGAGAAGATCTCTTCTCACTACGTAATATATTAATTAAGATTGTGGCTCGCTGGGACGACATAAGTCACCATGAAAATCCATGTCCAATTCATTTTACGAACGAGGAGCTCCTGGAGCACCAAAGCGAGATGGAACTTATCGAAGGAATCTCGGACATTATGCATCAGCTGCAAGATGGAGGACTCATTCCGTTGGGCGGTATGGTACGTCAAGAATACTATGAACATGGGAAAAAAGTGAACGATATATTCAAGGATAGATTCGTTGAGTTAGCAGAGAACGATGAGCAGAGGGAACTGCATAGGAAAATATGGCCGTATCTTTGATGGCATGTATAAGTTAGTCTCGTGAGGGCATTCAAGCGTTTACTTTCTCTTAAATTAATTACAATAGCATAAACATCCTCAGCACACTCCTGCTCTGCCCTAGATAGGCAAACTATGGTCTCGTTCCTCGGATAAAACGGAATCAAAATCGGTTCAAAAAGTCAATTATCAGCACGTATTCTAGTGTACACAGCTCTAACCTAAAATAGGAATGTCGGATGAGAATAAAGATTGTGAGGGAACTTGTTCTTGTTTGGAACCAATTCTCACCTTGATAGCTTGCTAGACGGACCAGGGTATGGGTCCATATACTGGAATCCGGCTAACCTGATCAAGGAGGTGGAGCGAGAAAGTGACCTAATCCAGCAGTTCGTACTACATTTTCTGATCTCTCATTTGTGCTTGTGACCCAAGGCCCACAACATGTTCTGACAGACGTTATTATCACACTTTCTAAGCTAGGTTTCTACTTTCTACAAACGGACATATCAGGGCACCTAAAAGAAAACTGCATTCTACTTTCGTAATACAAACCGAACGGAACTGCAGCGGAGCAAGCTGCAAGTGTAAACGAGAAGCGGAAGGTCGAAAACGAATTCAATTTTATCAGCATATTAATACCTGGAGTACGGCAATATAAAGAGGTTGGATGTGAGCTTCCCACCCACTTATTCATCTTACGACTTGGCTTAAGGTCAACTAAGTACAGCCTTCAATTTAACTAGTATAGCCTACGTCTTTTGACCCCTCGAACTTACGATGACGACCCGCGATGGCTTTTACCTTGAAAATGGCACCGCAGCCTGCCAACAGGGCCTTAAATGTGCTGGTGCTATCAGCCCTCCAAAGAACATAACTGGGAAAGAAACACAAAGCTACGATGTGATTGTTGTTGGTGCGGGTTACGCTGGCTTGACTGCTTGCAGAGACTTATGTACAGCTGGTGAGTGTGTCAATATCTCAGCTCGGAACAGAATATTAATAATTCTGTGGCCTGTAGGACTCCGTGTGCTTCTTCTCGAAGCCCGAGACAGGATTGGTGGACGAACCTATACCGCAGAATTCGATGGGCATTTGTATGAGATGGGCGGCACGTGGGTGCACTGGAACCAGCCCCATACTTATCGTGAGATGACTCGATACGGTCTTACAGAGCTTTTAACCAGTCATGTTGAGAGTACTGGACATAATTACTGTTCGACATTCGTTCAAGGCAAGGGTCGGAACGTGGACCCTAAGACAGTGGTACGTACTGATATCAATAATCCAAGCCTTACCAGCTGCAACCATTTTTCTAACTAGAACGCAAAGAACACGATGACCGAGAAAGCATTCAGAATCCTGTGCGATGTTGATGGAAAGTCAGCACGAGAAGTCATTCCATATCCACACAATCCGCACTACATCCCTGAAGCCAAAAAATGGGAGCAGATATCCGTTGCTCAGCGGCTTGAACAGATCAAGGCACATCTTACCGATGACGAAATCGCCATGCTCCAAGCGTCTCTGTCTTCTATCTGCGGGACTGATATGGATAAAGTTGGATTATTTGAAGTTCTCAGATGGTGGGCCCTGGGTGGGTATACCATGGATGGTCTGTACGAGACCGGGGACCAATTCAAGATCCCAACGGGCCAGTCAAGCTTCGCACGGTGTTTCTTTGATGAAGCGCTTCAGACCCGCAATCTTGCGTACTCGTTTGATTCGGCCGTAAAGTCGATCGAAGATCAAGGCGATCGGGTTATCGTAAATGGAACGTGGGTTGCAAACCGGTTAATCTGCACCGTTCCACTCAATGTGTTGCAGAAGGTCCACTTTGAACCGGCTCTGAGCCCATCTAAAATAAAAGCGACAACACGCCCTGGAAACGTCAATCACGGCGCAAAGTTTCACCTCGAAGTATTGGGCTCGGAGTTCCGATCGTGGTCGTGCGCAGCCTGGCCACCAAAGAGAGTCTCTCACGGAGCTGGAGACGGTTTCACTCCGGAAGGAAACACACATGTTGTTCTTTGGGGTCCAGGTAAGGACCTCCCAACGCCAGAACAAGATGCTCGAGATTTCGTGGCAGACTGTGGGAAGCTACATGACATGACGATTAAGAAAACGGTGAGCCGCCCGCCTTGCCCCTGCGACTGAATATGTTAAACGACCACTAACTCATAAAATGTCAGCTCTGGCACAATTGGAGCAAGGACCCTTTCTCTGAAGGCTCGTGGTGTATTTTCCCACCTAATTTCAGCTTTCATCATCTCGAAGCGCTCCAGAAACGCGCAGGGAATGTTCTGTTTGCAAGTTCGGACTGGGCTTCAGGTTGGCGTGGGTTCATCGACGGCGCAATTGAAAGAGGGGGACTCGCTGCGAAGGGCGTTTATTCGGAGCTTGGCGTCTCTGGACGAGCAGCTAAGATTTGAATTTCTTGGGAGACGCTTATGGTGCGTTCTTTGGCGCCTTTGCTACTGGATCCGATGGTCGAGGTTATTACAAGATATTGAAATACCTATCCCCTGGGGTCGATGGAATGGAATTGATTTCACAGGTTTAGTATGGATATACTTCATGACCTATTTCAATTTGATTGCTAAGAGACTTTGATCAAAGACCAGAAATTGAAATAAATCGTTAAGTCAGTCGGGATATTCAGAGGTAACCTTTTATATACAAACTTGAATTATTCAGTTAGGTTTCTAGCCATTCCAAGACCATTCCACCAAGTTAGGGTTAGCACCAGAGTCAGTGTGTAATTTTACTTATCATACATTTATTCATTGACATCCAAATTCAAAAGAGAATAAAATTCCCTAGTTGAGTCTCATTCTCCCGGGCACGCTGAAGCCAATTTGTGTCGCCAGACTCTCCACTTAACCAAAAGGCTCGCAGGAACTGCAAGGCTGTATGATTTCATCACATTCCAGTAACAAAAATTATTTTAAGGAAAAGCTCCTCCACCATAACCTGGCTTTTCCTGTCTCCGCGGCATTCTGTGCCCATTATGAATAACGGCAAGAAAAGGTCGTGAGAGAACCGTTGCCCCGGACCACAGATGACCGAGTGCACACAGCGCTGGAGGGGGCCCAAGAAAAGAGACAGAGCTTTATCCAATTCAGCTGGCGCTGCCAAAGCCTGGCAGCTGTAAATCACGGTGGCGTAGTAATGTGATAGGATGACGGTTTCAAGGCACTCTCGTCCAGGGAGTTGCTCGAGAAATGAACCAATAGTTGTCAGCACTCTATTGTAGACTACTCTGGCCCGTTGATGCCATACTTGCATTTCCTCCATCTCTGGGATCGGCTGGCGGTACCGCGAGGAGTTATATCGCCTTCTTTCCGTTGTGGTGATCTCATCAACAAGCCTGGTGAAAGTCTAAGGAGAATCACTATATAATTCCTGAAAGAAAGAGTCTGTAATAGGACTTGACTTCTGATTGAAAACCGAGATGCCACTTAGAATCTCGAGATCAGCCACTTCCTTAAGCAAGAAAGTCTCAGAAGCGCTGTTTAATCCGCCAAGCCGGTCCTGTAAAACATTGGAACTGATCACAGTTTGACATGCCCGTAGATGAAGTCTCCAATCCGTGGAACCAGGGATGAAAGCATCTGCATAGCACAATAAAAGTGTGTCCGCAAGCACCTCTAAGGGGGAAGATCCAAGAGAATAGCGCTTGGTGGAATCAGAATTCGAAAGTAAATCCGAACGCATGCTTTCATTCAACATCCGGAGACATGAGTCCCTTAACTCCTGGCAGACAGAACGAAAGCGGTCCCTCTCGTCGACAGAACCCATCCAAGTGATCGACAGATGAGCAGCAGCGTGACCAGCCACAGCTAGTTGGAGGCAAAGCGAATGCCGGGCGAGAGGTTGGATGGTGTTCCGCCACGAGTTTTCCGGAAGATCGATCCATCGGAAGCGAGGCACGACTTCAAGAAAGAAGTGATGGTGGAGCTTTTCAAGTGCCAAGGCTGATGTATGCCGCTTAATCAAGGTAGAATCGTTGCCTGGGGGTGTAAGGGTAGCAGTGAATGATCCACTGGCCATCTGTCTATGGGTAGGATGCTTGTTTGACTTGATCCCTCGTTGATCGACTTCACTGGGTCCGAGAATTGGCCTCGTCTTTCTCGTGAACTTTCCTCTGCTTGCAATGCCCTGGTTCCACTTGAGATACAATGGCCTAAACCCCGGACATTGCAGATCACGGCTGGCACACTTCACGCACGCCGTCGCAAGCGGGAGTATTGAGGTCCGTTTTGGCGTATGACATGCTTTAGTGTGAGGTATATTCCGGTGGCGATAAACGATGGGCCGATTATCAGGCAGCAAATCTGCATTCGGAAACCACTGGGGCTCCACGGGTTGGCGTGCATCATCAGCCTCCCACTGCATCCAAGCAGTTCCACTAAGCCGCCGACGGCGATAATGTATGAGTAGGAGTAAACTCGTGTGAGGCAAAGGATGATGAGCTGAGCGGCACAGCAAATGCTGAAAAGGACAAGGAGGGTCGTGTTTGCTCCGAGGCTCGGATAATACCCATATGTTGATGCTTCCACGGGGCAGGTGGGAGAGACCGCCTCGCAGACCAGATCAGACATGTTGAAAGTCGAAGTGAACAGGAGACACCGAGACTGTGGGGGAAATACTCGTGAGTAGAATCATATTTTCGATTCGCGCCCTGCGGTACTTAAGGAATTTCGACGAGACAGTACATACAATTCAATGCGCGGTCCCAGAACTAAAATTGGATGACTCTGCGGAGCTATGCGAGGCTCTAACCACAGTTGTTCAAGTGTCCGAACTGCCCCATCTATAGAATTGTTAGAATACTCCAGATATTCATCCAGGAGAATAAATTCGACACAGTGCATCGTTTGCGTACGGGAAAACCAGCGTGTAATTCAAATCTCGTTCATAATATAGACCAGTCAGTTGACAAATACCATTTGTAGTTATGCACTCAACTCGTCTTCCACCCATAGCATCGCCCATTTCTGTGTTTGTCCTCCGCCGATATCATGGGCTGCGTCCAATTTAACCAAACTCTTCCCTCAAATAAATCGGGATCAGAATGCTGGCAGTCGGATCCCAAGTCACTTAGGTCATACTCGGAAATGCGAGTATGACCTAAGTTGACGACGGCACGGCCTGTCCGAACGAATTGCTTGCTGTCACATACCAATTTCCATACGACAAAGACTGGATAGTCCGTCGGGGTATGTGAGACGGCCTGTACGAGCTTGCCTTGCCGTACACATGGCTCAGCAAATAGTTTGCACATATCCCTGTTTTTGTTTTGTCCTCGAGGTACGCGACACAGTATATAGGTCAGTGTCCTTGGATTCACGAATGTTGGTAAGGAATTCTCTTCTGAATACTTGGCTTTTCAATGCGAGACGCAAGAAGCAAGAAGGCTCATCAGCCACTTCCTTCGCTTTGTTCAGATTGGTTCTCAGAATTTCAGATTTTTGAGTTTCACTCTCGGTTTCGGACTGTCCCGGTAACTGTGATGCCTCGCCTAGGTCTTCGACATCCATACGATCATCTTGATCGTTACGGATGGCTGGAACGTCCGACTTGATCAACTTTCCCTGGAGCTTCGTTCGAGGCCATAAGCACCACCGATACTACCAGGGGCCTTCTGAGTTCTGAGGAAGTAATTCGATCAGTGTGTTGTTATTTGTAGACACGATGACCGGGTGTCTGGCCTACCACGAGACGATAGGCACCAACTCTTGTCCAGTTCTCTTATTGGAATTGGTGATCCCTTGGTCAGACTTCATGGGCCCTTGAAATTTGGGCATTAGCCCAGAGATGAGTCCAGATAACTCAATTTTTCCTTGAAATAACTGGGAATCTTTGCGTATGGATCAAAAATAAACTAGTTTTGGGGGAGCCGTCATACCACTCTGTTCTTCTAGTCGACACTTAGCAGATATCGTATTCTGGGTCGAAATCTCGCTGAACAATCGGTCAACGGTAATAAAATCGGTGCCTGGGCAATTGTTTTGGAACGTCTTTGGCATTCAGGACTGCCAACCTGCCGTCAAAGGAATATTCATGTACGAGTCTTCGATGACCGTACACATGACATGCTACCAACTGTTATGGTAGCTACCATTTCGCGGATCTTCAAGTGGGGCGTCCTTTATTCCAAATAGGTACGAAACATCTAGGCCCGAAAGCGATTTTGATACCAGGTGAGCCGCCTTGACGCGATCAGACTCCCACCGTCCAGTCAAGTGGCACCATGCGGCGCATCCCTCGGAATCAATGGCCTTGTACCTCCAGGATAGAGTAGTCTAACCACGATAGGTAGTGGTGGACGATGGTGGATGATGATAGACGACATATGAATTTGAGTGTCAAACCACAGGGTTGAATATCGTAGTATCATCGCCTCGGCCCATTTCCAGGTTGTCGGTGATCCTGATCTTTACATCAAGGAATCTTCTTCGATTATAGAAGCTTCGGGCTTCTTAGTGGGCTTCCTGATCATATTATCTTACAGGTATTCGGGATCTAGCGGCAACTTTGAGCAGAGTAATAGTTCAAAGAACATGGGTCCTTCCCCTCTCCTTAGATAAGGTGTTGGGGCGCAGGGGCAGGAAAAACGATATAAACACAAGATGCACGTTAGACATGACAAGATTGTAGTCATTGGTCTATAACTAGATTCTAGGGGTGAATTAGCACCGTTGAAGCGGAAAATCTGGATCTGAGCTCCTGTTGGCGTACCCGCCTTCGATCCGGAAACAAAATCCAACTTGATGGCTGTGTTAGGCGGGGAGACTCAACCAGTCTTTCCATGATTACCGGGCTCACATACTCGATCACTATGTACGGGTTCTGCATATTGCCCCGCACAACAGACTGGATGCTCTTCACAGTCGTCGCCACCAGGCGGGGGGTCCCCAAGGGGATATCTGCCAAAAATTCGAAGCCAGGCATGTAACGGAGTGTATACCCCACGGTCATCTGGAGCCGGTCATGGACTAGATATCATCAGATTTGTCACCATTGACATGCGTAAGATGGGCGAATTGGGGCAGCCCTGGCATAGTCCAGGTCGCGTCATCAACTCGGACTATTAGGGGACTCGTCGAGTGAATCCTGATATTCTTTGCTGGGCCTGATAGTATGCAACTGAGTTCGGTTGTTATATGGGCTTTTGGCCTGGTTTCCCAGTCTGTTTCGAGCATCTTCTTATGCAATGTAAAAGGAGGCCTCCATGGGTGGTTCTTGCGGTTAATAGAAACACGTATGCGGCTAGAGGGGGACTTATTGCCCGTAGCACCTTTCCAAGATTTAGAACGTAAGTCGTCTGCCGAGCGTGGATCTTGTGGGACCTAGCAACCGCTCTAAGGATCTATGTTTCCAGAGGGAGGGGGAAGTTCTTAGGGTCAGGGTTCTTAAAGTGATCTTCTGGTCTGATCTCAGCGGTTGCTCAGTACGCACATCCATGAGCCCCATTTCATACGGATGAGGGTCCAAATAGTTAGGCAATTCAGGCGGAATCTTGATGTTCACGTCGGCAGAGGCTCTCGTCGTGAGGTAGTGATCTAGTTGGACTTTCAATTTGGGCCCTATCCACAAAGTTGCCAAATAGTAACCTCAGATACATGTTTATCTTTAGGGTAGCTGACGGGGGGGGATCTTCTTTTGGTCCTTCTCCGATTGTTTTATCTTTAGCTGCGGCAAGTCATTCTGACCTGTTTGTATCAATTCTGCCCGTCGCTTGACCGGAATCACTGTTGTGGAATTGCGTTCAGTATGCCTTTTGAGAATTTGGGTTCAATGATATGAACATATCTCGCTTCCCTGGCATTTCGACGATCAAAATGGAATGATAGCCGGTACGTATTTGTATATGATTGGCGCGCGGTGTATACACCAAAGAAGCAAAGCAGTTAAGAACTTCCGCTCAGCAACGTCTGATGATATTTCTTTTCAACCGGACGCTCGAACGCCAATATTGACAAAGGATGGGAAGATTCAGGGAATGACAACTGTTTGTGGTCACCCCCCGAAGAGCACGCGAGCATCCGCCTTTGGTTTGCCCAGCATATGATAGAGATCTGGGTCACAGTAGAAACTCCTTTCGTCGAATATGATGAATCTCGGTTAAATTGGGGCTGCTCATTAATTTGCTGTATACCCCAAGGTCACTTCTTATAGATAACCTGCTGGTCTTTGAATATGCATGATCAAATAGTTGACCATGCCGGTGCAAGCCGATACTTCTAGGACAACAACAGGTCCACAAAAAGAAAAACTGCCGGCCGCACCATGGATGGAAAATAAGTGCATGATGCTTCTGTCGAATTTATCCCTCTAATGGTAATATTTGCGGGTCTTTGACGGTTTTCAATCATCTCTTTCAACCTATCGCTTTGGGAGGTCGTCATTTAGCTGGCGGTTGATTCCAGTCTTCGCGAGAAGTCCGCTCATTCCCAGCCAGTGCATCAGACTACCTAGGTTCAATTTGCCCTTGTGCGCTCCCATCGGCGGGCTGATGGTGTCTGTGAGATTCCCAAACGCAATTCCAGTGCCGACATGAGGCTTTCCGTAAAGCGGCGCGATCGCTGCCGAGTACCACTGTCATGAAACCAAGCAGCAGACGGTAGCTAGCCCTAGATATTCCTTGATCGACAAAAACGCAGATCGCTTCTCGGAGTCGGAGCCAGCTAGGAGTCCTTGATAGAGGGAATATAGATCCTACAGATTTATCCATATGACGAGAAAGGCGGTGGCACCTGGGCTTACGCCGCTCCGGGCGAAGAAATAACTCGCCTATCCCAGATCTCAGGAGGTAGATCTTTTCTTGTCCTTTGTTAATTGAGAGTCTTGCTTCCTCGTTTCTATTTTCGGGAGACGCTATGGCCTCCTCCTAAATTTGTATATAGTTAGTCAGTAATATGCCTGTCCTGGATAGGTAGACACTTACGATGTAGACAATATCCAGTTCGGCAGGCGAGAGTTGGGCGAATTTAATCGAGAGCCGAGTGAGTAACATGTATCTATCTGTATGCCGATGTTGTTTGCTAGATGTTCATTCCGAAATCCGCAGACTTGCATATTCAACAACTTTATGTTGTTGCTTTCTTGCACTTCTTGCGCCGAAAAGAGCCCCGTGGAATGAGAGACTGCCATTAGAAAGACGTCCACGGCCAGGGAGTAGGAAGCAGAAGGTCAATAAGAAATTCTTACAACGTAAGAAACGTAAGGCCGAGAGATAATATCATTAACTAGTCTTCCCAGTATAGGGAATTACCCAACTGGCTGTGAAGTAAATAGCCCTAAGCCATTACTTACCAAATTGGCTACATTAACTGCACCTACAATTCACCAACTACAGCTTCAAAATCGACAAAATGAATAAGTAGTAAATTCGCCATATATCTACGTTCCCTGTCTTTCCTGTAATTAAACTCATCATTGACTGGGCTCCCTCCTTCTCATCCCATCCTATCCTAAATTTCCTTCCTATCTTCAAACCAATGCAATATCCGTCTTCAAGGCCATTTCGATCGTCCTGTTTTTTTTATCTTCAAGGCAAGGATGAATTAGTATATCAGCAGAAGCCATGTCTATCTATTTTCAATGAGGTTCATTGATGTTGCTATGGCGCTTTCGAGGCACAACGCAGGGCGTGGTTCCCCTAAAAATGCCTCTTGATGTTCCAGTAATGCTGGCGCAACAAGTTAGCCAAGATCTACCCTTGGTTGATAAATAACCCACCTTCGGGAGGCGCTCCCTATAACGCGAAACTCTGGATCGGATTGTGCGAACTTCGAAAGATAGGTTTCACTGCGGTGACAGCAGGGCTACCTACAAAGCCCAACTTTCCGGTGACGGAGACTTCGCTGTCCCCGGATCGGGCTTTTTTGACATTCGGGCAAGCAACTTTAGTCTGTCACGGTATTGCCATTTACCCTCCGAGAGGCTTCCTCCGGCCTGGCGAACAACGTCCTGTGTAAGTTCCCATCGATCAGGAAGCTGCAGCCACTGCCACTGATAAAGAGCCTCCTAAAATTACTGGCCCTGAGCCTCATCGAAGAGATGAATCCTCACGCGTCGGCCTCGGATCTCCCAGACACCGGATCACATTCAGGCGTTACGGTTGGAGATATGATCGATCTAGAAATCGATATTGCGAAACTTGTCGACAAATACGCGATGGATCGTATTAACGAGATTGCAACCGTAATGGAAAGACAATTCTTGCGAGGCCAGAAAGTGATCGACCAGTCGGGAACTGGCCCGAAACTCGGTGAAAGATCGCAGGAACCAAACGACGATGAACTCGGTGAGAAATCGCAGAACAAAACGACGTTCTTGATGCTATCGAGAAAGCAGCTGCAAGTGTTCCCGCCGGATTAGATTACCAAGAAATCGATGAGGGTATGATCGACGACTTGACTAAGGGGACCGAAACCGACAACGGGGAAAAGGCCGCTGAGATACTACGTTCCTGCAACGTTCCCACTTTGGACGACGATATCAGTTTTTTTCTCAGAGCCGACCCGAAAAGGCTGCGGATCACGAAGGAGATGGCTGAGCGGTACCGTTACTGGACCTCCCTTCGAAATCCCACCACTGAAACTTGTATTCTACAAACCCACTACCTCGCTCATTCCTCGATCAGCTAGTTTGCGAGGATATTTGGTTCTTAGACTAATGGAAGAAGCTCATCTGGTGCTCTAGAAAGAGATATCTTTTTCCAGCCATTTTGAATATTTTTCAAATGCGGATCTGATCAAGAAAATCCCGTAGTATTGTCGGTCGATGACGTCCTTTTGCTCGAGACCGCCACTGAGTCCCCGATTGTCCTATCCGATGAAGATCTCGAAGATCTGGGAGCGGTATGGACGGAACAGGGGCTTTACCCAATACCAGACTAGGCGTGGAATATTCTGTGCGTCCTTCGCTTGAACTGCATTTGGTGTTTTTCTAGCAGGACTTACAGACCTTCACCATGATTTGATTACACCTCCCAAACATTTTTTCGCGGCTGACAAGGAAAGAAATAATCTCCTACGATGGAAATTTACCGTCGTCCTGCAATCCAATGGATAATTTGCTCAAGCACGAAGTAGTGCACCGTTTATGAGAGGAACTCCACGGAAAAATGCCAGGGGAACAGCCTCCACCTGAAGGAAGACCTCTAATCGACCCGCCCCCGGGGCCCCCTCAACGCCGGCACGAAGACCCAGTTCGGCAGCTTTTGGATCAGGATGTGATTTGTTTCTTTAGATACACTCCTATTGGGACTTACAGTCCCGATGGGTATACCGTTCGGGACGCTCGAGTGGTGGGAATGGGCTTCAATGTGCATGGACGGCCGTTCCGCGTGTTGCAAAATATAACCCCAGATGGGATCGGAATTGCTGCTGGAGAGCAGCCCGGCATCGGCGGTGGCTCGTTGGGGCCTCTAGATGTGCTCCTCTTCCGGGAGTACATCGATCTGAACTCAGACCAACTTTGCGTCGAAGTTTTCCGTCAGTGAACGACTAGACCCGGCTTGTTGCGACAGTACAACTAGCGAGATTTCGCTACTATGCGCGAACAAGCCTATCTGCGGTTGTGTTTGTCATGGCAGAACCTACCAAGGTGTGGTTGCTCAATCGAATATGTCGGTACGAAGCTACTTCTAAATACCTGGATATGATACTAATGCCTGGCAATAGATGACACCAATCTAAAAACGCAATGGCGCACATGAAATCAGAGACATTCCCTGAATTTTCAGCATGCTCGGCCTTGCACTGACACAATCAAAGACGACTTGATAAGAAAGAACTCCTCAATGAACGATACCGCTCTAATGGAGTCGTTGTAAGTGTCTCAAGACGCGGCTTCTTGCATTTTACCTCAGAGGCTGAGGCCGTCCCCGTTTGTACGGAGCTTGGACAGGTTCGGTCTCGAACGAGATCTGGATTGGGCAAATGGTATAATCAGCTCGTCCACAGATCTCGCCGAATTTATCGATATAGTGAGATCAGGGGATCTCGAGAACCCTCCATGGAAAAGATATGACCTTCTCGTTTAGCCCCATGGTCGGAAATTTATCTGCAAACATACCTATAGGTATATGCTTCCAAAGATGTCCGAGGGGATGATGCACCCTTTTGTATATACCATTCCGTGTTCAAAATCTGGGGTAGTAGATTCAGTTCTAGATCTGTCACTTTGGCATATCAATATGCGAGGGTTTAATATTGTCGGGCTTCCTGGTATCATTCTGAAGAGGCAATATCTGGTTGCTATACCCAAGGATGCCAATTTACGACACGACATGAACACCGAGCAAAGTCATGAGCATCTGACCCAATGTACATGGGGTATTAATTTTTTCTAGGCTTCAATGTAAATTTAAATATGCCTATCAGACAATCAAAGACCCATATAAGATCATCATCTAGACTCTGTCTACAAATCCTGACCCCTCTTAGAAGCTTATATTCTAGGATAGTATTGTAGAGCTACAGCATCTTCGTTACGCTTCTACTCTTGTTCATGAAAACGGTCAAAATCCTCATTTCCAGGGGATCCCCTTTGAGGTCGCATCGGCCATACAAATGAGGTTGGGGTAGGTGGTGATTTCGCTAAGTTAAATGGACGATTGTGAGCTGAGGAAGGAGAACACGCCAGTGTATATGGTTACAGTATATCCTATACGCTCACCATATCAAAGTCATCATGAAGCTAGTGAGTGATGATGACCTTTGGAGGCTGCAAAAACCTAAAGGCATTTGCGCACATCAACTTCCCGCGGTATCCACGAGAGGGAAGGTTCGACATAGACACAATCACACAATTCAACGCCGTCCAGCTTCACGCAGAACTCCTCATCCACAAGGACATTTTGAAGTGATTTCGTTTCAAAGAAGACTACCCGGATTCCACAAAAATCGGCTCTCTCCGCGACTTCGCCGTTCTCGACTAGATCTCGATTTAACACCAGAAGGAGGAAGAGATAGGGCCCATGTATTCAGGTTGCTGCTTACAGGTCTTTTGATTATCATCATCAACATCGTCTATTGAAGTGGTTGAATAGAGATCAAAAAGAGAAAAAGCGAAGTTGCGGAAGTGATTTGGTGACTAGGCGGCAGCGATCTACTATATCATGATGTAGTCATCCAGGAGCTGAGAGTTTGTCCACTCCCCTCGAACTCACTTGACTCATATCACTGCTCATTGTTTAATTTTTCAACTTCTGCTTTTCTCCTCGTTCCCTTGGTCTTCTGTGCCTCTCTAGCAGTTGGTCGATCATTGATCGCGGTGGTGGGATACCCTGGCCAAAGAGCGGTCCCGACGGCCGTCCACTTGCGCTCTCCCATCAGTGTCCGAACTATATAGCCTGCGTCCGGGTCGCGTGTTTAAGGGGATCTCTGATCCTCCATTTCGAAGGTAGGGTTTCCCGGAAAATAAGGCTTAATTGGTGTCGTTTACTCTAGGTAGTTTGCTCGAAAGACTATGAATGGGAAGTTATTCTGATGAGTGATGGTCCGCGTAAAGTAAAACTGGGTATCTATTAAAGAAATGATCTAACGAAGATCTAAATCAACACAAACATCAAATCCCTCACATTCAACCCGCACTCGCACTCGCCAACGGCAAAATCTCATACACCAAGAATCTTAACCTCTCCCCACTTTCAATCAACCAGGACCACTCGATACTCTCGAGTTTCCGACTATTCTGACTCCGCCGAGTCTCTACCTGCGTTTTCTTAGCGCGCGCATTGATCCCCTCTTCCACGGCGTTTTGCAGCTCCGGGGTGACTTTGAGTAGGCTGTTATCGGCGAGGAGGACCAACAGGGACTCAAGCGCAACGGACACTTTGGCATTGTCGACGATACTGGCTGTGCTGGCCGCGTAAGGGAGGAAGCACTGCTCCAATTTGGCCTGGCTGAGATACTCCTCGTCTGTGATGGCGGCGCCGCTCTCGCGCATCCGGAACAGCAGACATTCGCAGAGGGTGGTTGTTGCGGCGGGAGTGAAGTAAGGCAGCACGGAAGGGCTGATGAGGGCCTGGAAAGTCGGAAGGGGGAGATGTCGAATATTCTCGACGAATAGGTGGTACAGTTCTTCGAGGTTGATGAACGAGGCGGGTAGATGCTGCGAGACGGTGGAGAGCAGGTGAAGCAGTCGTTGCCGGAGAGCGAGCGATGGCAGACCCCCGAGATGGTCCACGCCGCCGTGTAAATGAGCCGCGGTCTGGGCGTCCTCGTTGGCAGAGGGGTCTGGTTTAGATCGAGTGCCGCGACGAGGACGTTTTGTCTGTCGCGTAGGCCGTTTGCTGGTGGTCGTCGGGTCGGTTTCGTTCTGGGAGGATCCGCCGTCGTCGGTCTGATAGTCCCCATACTCCTCCTCGTCGATGTTGACTTCCACCTCTCGCTTTTTGATGTTCTCGGTCTCGCGTTTCGGCTGCTTCAGCTCCCTGTGGAAGACCTCGCGGAATTCATTGACGGAGCTGGTACTTCCGTCCGCGAAGATGGCCCGCATGATGCGTCGAATCTTGCCGTACCTAGAACTCCCTTCATCGATGTATCGGACGATCAAGCTATCCTGGAGGATCTTGGGTCCACCCTTGGATGTCTCCCCGTCTTCCTTCTGCTTTGTGGACGCGGAGTGCAGACGCTTTCGTTCCTCCCAGTCATCTTCCAAGACCTCACACATGAATTCCAACCAGGTAGACCATCTCTTCCACCGCTCCGGATGCAGTACGGAGCAATTGAACGCCCACCCGACGGCGTGCCAGAAGTCTTCGGCGCGAGACCACACCGACGCCGACTGACCCAGGTCGAGGTTCAGGGGCTTCATCTCGTCATCCGAGCCATGTTCGTGTCGTCGTCTCCCTCGCCGGGACGACTCGAAGTGTGTGAAGGAGAAGGCGCGTTCGAAGTTCGCGGAGATCGGCCCCGCAAGGGTATTCGTGAGGCGGAGGAGTCGGAGCGAGGCATTCGGCGCTTCCGTTTCTTCGGCGGTTTTGGCGCGCGTCGTGGTGGACGGGTGCACGAGGAGGGTCGCGGCCACGGCGAGATGCTGCGGTGGGGGAGCGAAAACGGGGGTTGGGGCCTCGGTGGCCGTGGTGAGGATGTTTAGGAGGAGGTCGAGAGCTTGGGTGTCTGGATGCGGAGAAAGTTAGCGCGATGGTAGTGTTGACAGAGGAGGGGGGAGCGCACAGAGTTTCTCTTCCAGATAAATACCGGAGTGTTGGATGAGCTCGAATGAAATGGGCTTGGCAGGACGATAGGAGAGCAAAGGCGCCTCCTCGTCTTCTGACATAATTGACTGGCAAGAAGGTGGTGGTGTTGAAGACGGCGGTAGTTCGTTATGTGATAGATTGATAAACGCGGGCCGGGACGCTTATCGATAGTCGTCGCACGGCCGGGTTCATCAGAAGTGCAGAGAACACGGACGGCATTTGTCTGGGAAAATCAGAGAAATTGGTAGAAATTGGGCAGAGTGGGACAAGGACAACAATTCCGAAAGAAGTGTGTCATTCTTTGTCGAGGAGATAATAACATCTGGAGTGGGCAGGAATAACAATCACTAAAATAGCGGCCAATTCATCAAATCAAGGTGCCGTAGTGTAATGGTTATCATGCGACGTTGTGGTTTATCCCGCTGTCCCGTCCCGATCTGGGTTCGATTCCCAGCGGCGCCAATTGGCGTTGAGAACTTGATTTAACTTTTTGCCTGTCGAAAAGGTGGGCTATTTTTTATCTCCTCTATGTTCATAATGGATCAACAACTAATGCGTCCTTTTTTATGGTGTTTCTTTGTTGTGTTTTATCCTTTTGGGAGGTTGTGGTTCCTCTTCCACCCCGCTCCGTGGTAACAATGTATTCATTTATCCGAACTGGGATTCAGGTATAAATATCAACTCTACTACCATCGTTCTCAACAAAGACCTGCTACTATAGGGTAAAATACCAGCAGAAAGCTATCAGCCGAGCAAACATTTTTTAAAAAAGGAAATAATAATAATAATAATAAGCTACATAAAACATTTCCACACTTACCAACGAGACCCGCCGCAACAACAACAGTATGCACCTACAAATATCAGTAGAAGCATATCAACGACAAACCGCATATTAAAAAAAAAAAAAAAAAAAAAGATACAAATCGCTCTCTTCAGGTCAGACAGAATCTACTCATAAAGTATCACACTAACTAACCCTCCACCGAATATTCTCTCGGAGACTAGTCAAACCAACCGGTCTCGTTCACATGAATGAACGGACACACGGACGCCGAATAAATAGGCAAAAGGCATTTCTCTAGCATAATAAGGACCCTGACAGCCTTAACTAAATCACACTCCGCAGCCATCTGGAACATGCAACCAATGACCCTAATGCATTAAACTCAGCCCCCACGCAGCAAACAGGAGCTAAAACCCCGGGTTCCTGGACGTCAAAGGGCGCTTTGATCGCGGGGACTGCATGCATAGCATTAACATAGGTATTAATTAGCATTATCATAGCTATGTAATCAATAAACTCGACGTATAGGTGACTTCTTCAACTTGCATACATACAACTACTTCGCCGTGATAGAGGCGCTCTACAGGACCGAAAAATGGTCGGAAAAGAAGGCAAGCAAACACAGGCAAGGAGGAGACGAGAATGGAAATGATAACCTGGATATCTAGAGTTAGACACGTGGAAGACGAGGGTCACAGCAACACTGAGTAGATCTGCCCTCGTCACCTTCTTCTATTGCTTTCTTCCATCCTGTCTCCCCCCAACCCCCTAATTCTTCTATTTTATCTGCCGAACGCTTTTTTTTTGTGTGTTGTTTTGTTTTCTTGCTCATCCCATTCAGCTGTACTCTGTATTTCGAGAGTTTCATGTTCGCACCCTTACATCATCGCCCCCCCCTTAACCCCGCCAAGGAGCAAAAACAAAAACTCGACAGGATGATCAATTCCCAACGGGAGACCGGACATATCCCCAGGATTGCGTAGCAGAAAAAGAGCAGAAGAGGGAGAGAGAGAGAAAATGGGGAGAGAACAGTAATGGACGCCAAGTGGAGAATATTATCAAGAAAAGGAAGATAGAGAGAGGCGGATTAAAGATCAGCGAAATAAAAAGCAAGAGAATTATTAAAAAGAAACGACAAAGATAACAAGTCCGCTATTCCTCGGGTTCGCCGGAGAAAAGCCCTATTCGCAGTCGGTGCGACTGTATCCAATATTAGCACAAGTTGACAATAAACCTAGAGGGGCGGAGTGACATACAAACGGAAGTTTCGGGATGACCACGGCCAACGTGGCGAGGAAGTTGATGGTAAAGTACGTCAAGTCGTAGTGGGTATAATGTGTGCTGAGGAGGAAGAGGCAGATGGGCACGCAGAGGAGGAATTTCTTCGTCGGGGTATATTGGTCTCCGTTGTCGATTTGCTCCCACATGTTCAGATTATCGTAGGCACCCGCGTTGAATTCGAAAGGGATGCCCCGCACCCAGTGGAACATGAGGAAGGAGCCGAACATGTAACTGATGTTGGTCAGGGTCCATGAGGTTTCCTGCGAGACTCCGGGGATGATGTCGTAGAAGATCTTGAGGGCAATGATGAGAACGAAGTGGATTGTCCAGGCACCTATGTCGAAGCATTCGAGTCAGCGGATTACGCACACACACTCTCCCCAGACGAACGGAGTCATCCGGGGGGAATTTGTCCGTACTCACCCTTGGCATTCACCCAGTTCGCATTCAGATTGGGCAAGGCCGCCTGATCACTGGTGTGTTCGATCGACTCCGCAGGCTCCTGGTAGATGATACTGCTTGACCTTCTCCTCCGACCAGCCTTGTTTTGGGACATGTTGGGGTCCGGAGTCAACCGGTGCGGCCGATTGTCGGCCTCCGGGGGGAAGGAGATAGCACGGGGAATCAAGAGGGAAGACACTTTGGCGGTGTTGATCGGAAACTCGGGGGAAAAAGGAAGAGAGATCCGAGTGGAGAGGAGAGAGGGAGCGGAAAATTAAAGGGGGAGGAAGACAAGAGAGCGTGAGGAAATGCAGAGGGCAGGCCGCAGCAGGTCTCAGGACGACGGCGGAGAAAGCGAGATGGGATCAATTCCGACCGTCAGGCGAAGGCGAAAACGAGAGGAAGCGAAGGTGAAAGCGAAAGTCAGATCGCGCTCGATGATCGGCGTCGGTCACGGGACAGCCGTCCAGGCTCGAGGGGCAAAAAAAATTGTAGAAAAAAAAAAGGAGAATATTTTCTACAATTGGAAAAAATGTAGAAATCTCTTTGAAATTTAACTTGATATTTTTTTTTTCTCTCTTTACCCTTCTCTCCTTGAAAGGGATGTGGGGATTATAAGACAATGGACGAAGAACAGAAAAAGGAAAGTGATAGTGAAAGTCTCCCTCTGAAGAAGAATAACGAGGATAAATTGGAGAAAAAAGAAGGGGGGAAAAGAAAGAAGAAAGAGCTTCTAGAAGAAATCCAGCAGCCTACTAGGAGTCTAAGGGAGAATTAGATAAATTAGATCCCAGTGGAATTCCTAACTAAAGATGCGATGCTAATAATAGCCCGATATCACACCGACGAGACGGTCCAGAAGAGGCCAGACACTGCCATACTGGAACCTGTAGGAAGGTTACAGGAGCGATGCGACAATCACATCCACCTTGGACTCCTTCATCGCCCTTCGTCTCATGCATCTATCTCCCTGTGCCTCTGAGTGATCGCATCGAACAATGGCGATTCTTCCCTTCCCCAGCCCTGCGTCTTTGGCTCGTCCTGTCGGCCGTAAATTTTCCTTAGCGTGACGGCGATTCCCGTCAATTCTTGCAGTGGCTCTTCCTTAATATTTCCGACCACAACTACTGGACGCTGTACGGAGTATTCCTCTTTTCCTCTCCTCCCCCGCCCCCTTCCGTCTTTCATGTGGCATACCGCATAATGCCCAACTCCTCCGACGGTGAACATGATTCCAGGACCGCCTCGGTGGGCGCCCAGCGAACCCGCCGCGGCACATCCAAGGATTCTTCGCGCCGCAGCTCTCTAGATAAACCCAACGCCAAACGGCAACGAAGAAACGGCAAGTCCGACACACGCGAGGTCCAGGATTTCGTCCCCCGAGGCGCATCGTTTAGTGAAAACTCCCTGCTGGTGGACCCCGATAGCACCTCGTCTTCAGGTTCGGATTCCGAAAGCGACTCCGGCAGCGGTTCGGCCTCTTCGTCGGAGGGCGAGGACGAGAGTTCGAGCTCTGAATCTGCGGAAGAGCACAAACCTACACAACCACCAGCTGGAGGCTGGAACAAGGGCAGCAAGAGTGGCATCCGAACGTCGCTCAGGTCTCGAAATCAGACAAATGGCGACGAGAAGAATCCCTCGCAGTTCGATGCGGTGAACGATAAATTCTGGCGCAGTCGCAGTGACTCGGCCTCGTCTGGTGGGGGAGACGGTTCCAATTCGCGCAATGAGAACGGCAAGAAAGAGGACCCCCACGTCTCGGAGGAGGGAGAGTTGGAGGAAGACCACACGGCGGAGTCTAGCCAAATGCATCTGTCGGGCGATTCGGACGAGTCGGACTCGATGGATTCTGAGGCTGATGACTCTATTTTGCTGAATATTGGATCCCGGGACCAGGACCAGAGCATCTCTGGTCAACGACCAAATGATCCTGAGCCTCGAGTCAATGGCGACGCCTTCGCTCAGAACGGCGTCACGAACAATCCTTCCAAGGAGGAGGCCTTCCGCCTTTTCTCCCAAAAATATCCCATGACCCCTTCAACCCTGGCTGACTTAGAGCGGGACGACATGGAAAGCCAGGCGAGATGTTTGTTCTATGATCGGGACATTAATGACATCAGTCTTCAATTGCCTATTGCATGTACAGAGTGCTTACAGGAGGGCCATTTGCCCGAGGTGTGCCCATCCAAGGAGGTAAGCTTGAAATCTGGTCGACTGTTCTTCCTGTGAAGACAGTTTCTCTACGTCTGGTCATAAATCATGTTAACGACTACAGTGTGTACATTGTGGTACTTGGAACCAGCACCAAAGCAGTTTCTGTCCGCGGTGGAGAAGATGCCAACGGTGTCGGGACCGGGGCCACGATGAAGCGCAATGCTCATCGCAGCTGAAAGGTTCCGCTGCCGAGACTCCTTGCGATCTGTGTGGGTCGACAGAACACTTGGAGCTTCAATGTGACGCCTTGTGGAAGATCCCCCGACGAGACACACCGTCCGGACCGGTGCTGGTCTCCCTTTCGTGCTCGCATTGCACTAGTAACCGCCATTTGATCGGAGACTGCCCGTCCCTCCCCAAACCCTTGATGTCATCATCGTGGACCCTTAAGGCGGTTGATCCAAACATGGTGACCAACACTAACTCGGTGGTGAGCGGCCGAGGAAAGGGCCCTTCGTCCAGAGGCAGCCAGCGGGGCGGCCTGAAGATCAGAGGCCGTGCCGACCAGCGCTCGCCCTCTCCCGATAGCGACGACATGATGTCTCGGCCACGGCAGCCCATCGGTCGCGGCGCACCGCGCGGCAATATCCGCATCGGAGGCGGCATCGGAAGGAACAAGAACTTCGCCCCGGCTGGTCCGAGGGCCCCCGAACCCTCGTATCACGGTGGCTACCGCTCGCGATCTCCCCCTCGTCCGGGCCGCGGCCGAGGCAGAGATAGCTACCATCCCGGTGGTCCTCGATCTCCTCCCGGTCGACCAAGACATCCTCTACCCCCACGCCCCGGTAGAGGCGGCGGAGACCGAGGAGGTCGCGGAAGTTATCGTGGCGGAGGTCCTGGACCCAAACGAGGTGGTGGCGGCGGTGACGCCTACCGACCTTTACCCAGCGCCGGCAAAAAAGCCTGGGATAGATACCGAATGTGAAACAAAGAATAAGTGGCTACTCCTCATCTGGACGAATAATGAAAGGCGTATGTGATTGAATATTTGGACCTTTTGGGCGGTTTCCCTCCCGCTTCTTTTTTTACCCTACATATGTTGGCTGGTTGGTTGATTCGAGTTCAAGACGATATACCCTGATTTCCCCCCCCCCCCCCGGCTTGTGTATGAATATGCGTTTATTCTTTTCTCATGATTATGATCGTCATGATGGGAAGTGGGGATTGTACACGATACACAGAAAACTATCTAGAGATCCGGAGTTTGCTTTCTAGATTTTTGATTTCATCATTCTATTGTCAAAATCTCGGTGGCTGTTCATGAACCACGCCAGGCATCTGAGCTAGATATATGAAGTAAAAGGCGGTACTAGTTACCTAAGTAAGATGTAATATCTTAATTATTAGGAAAAATGGCCGTATTACTCCGGATTCTTTTCATTATTGTCGATCATCCCTGGATACAATCTTGACATAAAGTGTTTATAGAATACATAGGTACATCCTGGTGTTAAGGGTAGCCAATCAGGGCTAACGGCCCGTCACTACCTCATCCACACCCCTGTGGAACGCGCCTCGATTGCTATTCCATCGCTCTTGGTCCTATGTAAGAACAACGAAGCCTCGAAGCCAGACAGGATAATTAGTACTCTCATGACCATCATTCAACCATTCTGTCTCAGCTTCGTATTTAACAAGACTGTCGGTTTCGGCTATGTTTGCTTGCGCGCTCTTCTTCAGCCAATATGGTCTACATTCCTCTTCCTCCTGTCCTCTACTTTCAACGGCTTTCTCACGCTACTTCATCTTCATAAAAGTCCCATCCGTCCGGGACCGCAGAAGGAAGATATCGAACATCTGGGTGGCCTTGGAGCAGAACCAGAAAATGTAAGTCTGGCTTAACTCAGTCCCAGCTTGTGTCTCGCCATGTATTCGAAGAATACAGTCATGCCGTCTGCGGTGAATAAAAGTCATACCTCCAAGCCATACTCGGATCAGGTTACATATATATGCGTTTCCGGGAGAGAGAATGGCCACGCTGAAGTCCCCCAGCCTCGCCATGGCGAAGTAATATATGTCACCAAAGGCAAAATGTTGGCCTGGGGGGAACTGCCATCCTCGAACGATTGCCATCTGGCACTGTTATGAAGACACTGATTCCAAGTCCGTACTGTCGAGCCGAGGAGGATGACCACCGCCGAAACATGCGCCTTGAGGCCCAGATTTACACAATGATTGGGGAGCATCCTCGTGTGCCCAAGTTAATCCACTGGGACCTAAAAACATGCTGCCTCGAGATGGAATATCTAGAGAATGGAAATCTCAAAGAATATGTTCTACAAAACGACCAGAGCATAATTCTGCAACTTCGACTCCGATGGAGTAGGCAGGCTGCTGAGGCGTTAACTGCTCTTCATGGGGTTGAAGTTATACACTGCGATCTCTCACCAAGGAACTTCCTTCTCGACTCACATCTCAATGTGAAGATTGCCGATTTTGGCGACGCGTCCCTGTGCGGTTCAGATCCATCAGCCACTCCAGCAACACGGTTTCGACACCCTGATTACGATTGGAATGTTCAACCGGTATTCGGGGATGATATATTCAGTCTGGGGTCATTGATTTACTTTATAATGACCGGCTCCTACCCATACGAAGAAATCTCTAGTGATGAGGTTGAGAAGCTCTACGAGATCCAACAATATCCTGATGTGTCCTCTGTCGTTTGTGGAGCTATGATTATGCAATGTTGGCGTCGACAGGTAGACTCGGCTCAAGCTATACATGAATGTCTCATAGCCATTGAAAGGGATAATTAGATCTCTCAAATTTCTCATAGTTCGACCATTCGCCTCTTGTGATTGTCTGCCCAAGGCTCTCTTCTTTCGGATCCCAGCAGTTCTCTCTGGTTGCTGCATAGGTGGGACAACCCTCCGTCACTAGGATACGTCTCACGCTTCTGCATGATGGAGGACATTTGCCATAACGGGTTGTGGTAACGTGTATCTTGCACATCTTCAAATACTATCTATCAGAATCGGTAGCTAAATCATCTGTCAGAGGACTCACTGTTCAAAATTTAGGCAGAAATACAAGGTTGGTTTTCTTGTTTTCAACTCGTATAATATAAATAGGAGACTGACTCATTTATAGACATTGTATTAACTAGCCAGCAAACACCCTCGGAGTAGCAAGTAAACCTCTTGTCACGCAGAAAGACCTGGCCCTCGAATACTGGAACCATGGAGCAAACTACCAAAAAAGTTACAGGTAATGCTTCCCGTGGAGTTCGTCATGCGATGGATGCTGATCTTGAAGACCGTACGCATCTGGTGTATCGACCATCAGCCAAATCCAATGTTCGGTATTGAGAGCAAGGGTCTAGATGATGTTGTCATAATAGCCATTCCCCTTCAAGACCCCAATGAACCGAATATACCAGTCAATGGAACCGATCCCCCTAAAGGAGCCATTCTAGTAGATCTTGCTGTCTACGAGGAAGGTATTTCCAGGGTCCGTCATGCCTATGGGCCCATCGACTTCAACCCACTCAGTGACCACGATCCTATTATTACGGCTCAATATGTGCACGGTCTCGAGTCCAAGAGGGCTCAAGGCTACGCACTCATAATCCAAAGGTACCATTATGTGTGGGCAAAGTATCACTCCCTTGCGCGGGTCTTCGGGTATGAAATCGGCTGTGTTGTGACGGACTGGTTTGATAATGTTTCGGAGGATCTGAACCGGCGCCTCATAGCCCTAGCATCTCAGGGTGTCTACTTCGGGGGTGCTTCTTCCTGAAAGGATGGTTAGAAGAAAGGATATGTTATTATAAACAATATTGTGTTAATTATCAAGGGGCATTATTATTCATTCGATCGAGCCATAATAACAAGTGACAGACAGTAAATTCCAGGACGTACGCTCGCGTCGTGCATGATTGTGTCCTCGATACTTCAGACAGGTTGTTTTTGTCTTCTCGTTGATTTCACCGGCGAGGTACTGTATAAAAAGAGAGACGGAATTACTATTCTTTATTTCGATATAAAGAAAACTAGATGTGATAACGACCACTCACAACCTTCCTGATATCACGGATCCCCCACCCAGCTAAACAATATAATGTAGAAGATAAAAAATAGAAACGAAAGAACTCCCTGCCAAGATTCCCGGTAGATAGATACAAGGATGGATATCACTATGTTACGTTATAGAAAGAAAGAAATGTCTCGCTTCACGGAGGAGGTCTCGGACCGATGATCTGGCGTCTCGCACCTCCAACGCCCAAGCCAGGCCCTCCTCGGTTCTGACTATCGCCGCCCAAAAACCCATACTGATGGACGTTCCAGGCACCCTGGCCGGGCCCCGTGCCTATCGAGGAATCACTAAGGCCCTGTGCGGCGACGGCCTCGGTCTGTTTCTGGTTGTCTTCCCATTCGCGCTGGCGCTCGCGTTCGCGCTCCATCTCCCGCTCCAGGAGGGACTTGGAGGCCCAGCCGCCGGCTTTGGTCTTCTCCTGCGCGGCTTCGCGGCGGCTGTTCTCGGCGTCGACTTCAGAGGTGGTGCTGTAGTCTTGGGGACGGTGGGCGGCGGGCTTGGCGGCTACCGGGGGACGGTTGAAGGAGAGGAATCGGTCGACGCGGCTCTCTTGTTTTTGGTTCACCGGGTCCGGGAGAGGACGGGGAGGTTTAGGAGGGGGGCCACCGCTGCTAGCTGTCGAGGTCGGGTCGGGTAAGGGCCGACGAGGGGGCATAGGAGGTGGTGGGCTGGTTTCGGCGATGGGTTCCTCTCGTTGATGATCCTGCCATTCCGTGCGTAAGAGGCGGCGTTCCTGTTCCAGAGACGAGAGATCGTAGCTGGGTTTGGGAGGAACGGGGACAGGACGAGGACTGCGGGCTGGAGGAGCTGGAGGGGTGTTGCTGCTGCTGCCTGTGGATCTCTTCTCACGAAGAGCTCGTCGCTCGCGCTCATACTGGGCCTCTCTCTCCTTCGCACTCTCCAGCTCCAGCTCCAATTGTCGGATGCGCTGGCTCTCGCTGGGCTCGGTGGCAGCGGCGCGGCCGGACACTGGCTGGCTGGCTTGGTACTGACTGAGGAACTGGCCGTTGAGACGGGTGTCGTTGACCTCGCGTCGACGCTGCCTCTCCTGGTCGATCCGGTCCTCTGTTTCTCTTTCCTCGCGCTGACGCTGATCCTCCTCTTCCTCCCACTTGCGCTGTTCTTCATCCCACTGCCTCCGTTGCTGCTCCACTTCGAGTCGCTCCTTCTCCCGGATCTGCGCCGTCTCTTCTTCCCAGCGACGCGCTTCCTCAGCGCGCGCCTGCTCCTCTTCTGTCTCTCGCTCCTCCCGTTCCTGCTGGCGCATACGCTCGGCATATTCCTGCTCCGCACGGAGCCGGTCCTCTTCCTCGCGTCGGCGTTTCTCCTTCTCCGCTAGGCTCGGCACATGCGGCGCAGCGGTGGTGATCTGTCGACGAGCGCCAAAAGCAACTCCTTGGTTAGCCTGGCTAGCGCCGCCCATGTAGCCATATTGATGAATATTCCAGGCCGGGGAGGTCGAATGCTCGTCGGTCTTCTTACTCCAGCTGCTGACAGCCGGCGACTTCGCGGACGGACTGGATTGCGCGGAAACGTTCGAGGCGGTATCGCTGACCCCGTTGTAGAATCGCGACTTCGTAGGCGTGTAAGCCCCTTGGCTGGATCCCGTCATATTAGGGCTCAACGTGCCGCCCTTATTCTGAGGGCCGATGGTCCGAGGGAACTTGGACGGTTGAATCGCGTTGGCTCTCCGACTGAAGGCCATCAGACACTGGAGGACCTGCGCGGGGTCCTTGCCTTCGTAGAGATCGACGGTGAGGAAGACATCGTGGGGCGGGAGACTCAGGGGTTGGATTTGACAGGCACGGAGGAAGTGCGAGATGTTTTCCATTTGTACAAAGGGCATCGAAGATTGCTTGAATTTGACCCCCGGGGAGACCGCAAGGTTGACGAGTCTAGCGGGTGAGACTTTGTTAGTTGGCTGCTAATGATGCCCCCTCGGCCGGCATGTCTCGGAAGGTACTTGGATAGGTAATAAGGGTGCGAGAAATGGCTGAAAGTCTTACCTGCAGAGCGCGACACCATCTTTGAGGGCTTCTAGAAGATCCCCGGCGGGTAGGGATTCATGGAGGACTTCCTCGATCCAGTCGCGCACTTCGGCGGCTGCCTGCGGGGTATAGCGGGACAGGCGTAGATTGCGCAGGTCTTTGTCTAGAGACGTGACGGACGCCATTTTGGGAGTTGGAAGAGATCGGTTCGACGCGATTATTGCATGCAGAAGAGACGTTTGTGTAAAGAGGTGAAATCGGTAGATTGTTGCCTGTCAATTGGCCACTGAGGCGAACCGTGGAACGCGGCCAGGGGGATTGTATGTATGTGCCCGAGAAGATAAGGAGGGTATATAAAGTGACCGAGACACGGGGGAAACTGTCCGAAGACAAATCAGTCAAAAGCAAAGAAAGCCCGGAGAACACTCGTGGCAGTGTGAAAAAAACCCAAATTTCTGGAAAGAAGGAGAAGAAGAGGAAGAAGGAAGAGAAAGAGAAGTGAAAGGGCGAGGAATGGAATGTTCCGTCAGCCGCTCCGCCTCGTCCGATGACGTCCGTCCGCTTCTTCCTCTGCTCGCCGATCCCTTTTTGTCCCTTTCTCCCTGGCATATTTCCCCTGCTGCTCGCCTATCGAACTCCACCCCCTTTTTTTGACTCTGCAATTTAGCCGTTTGATTATTAATTAGTTTCTCAACCTTACCATCGGGCACCAATGAGTCCCATCAATAGTTTGTGGTTCAAGTGGAAGAGCCTTAAACTGCCGTGGCGAAAATCCTTCCTAGCGGGTGTGTTCAACAGAACGCCGTGACCTTTCCGATTCTAATTCGTCTCTCTGCACAGGATCGGACTTGCGCGGTAACACGTACTGGGAATTTAAAGATGCCCTGAACGCCTCGCGATACCGGCGCATCGTGAGAGTCGACCCGAAAACCCACCTCGGAGATGTCCAAGTGAGCCGTACGTGTTTAACCCAACCAACACAGCACCCAACCCCATCGCGGATTGAAACAAACTAACACGGATATTTGCCTCCAGCGCAATGGCACCAATGGCTCCGACATATGCGAAAGAACGCGCCGACTATCCAAGAACAGCAGCAGGATCTTGTCCGCCAGGCTCACATCAAACAGTTAGCCCAACTGGCTGATGAGCGATGGGCCAGCAAACCGTCCTTCCTTGATAAGCCGCAAAACCAGCAACCTGCGCCAGCGACGAAGACGAGCGATGATACGTTGAATGCGCCGGCACAGGAGACCAAGACCAACACCGCGGAACGGGATGAGACCGAGAAACAGCCGGCTGCGGCGAAGGAGGATCCCTGGGCCAAGGCGAGAGGCTCACCGGGCGAGAATTGGCAGCCCGATTCCTGGTCACCGAAGACGTCAGGGCGATGAAGGTAATGGAAAAAAGACATGTTTTGCTTTAAATGACCCTCGCTTTTGGTCTTCAGGTCAAGACATGGCATAGTGGGGGCTTTAAATCATCCTGATTCACTGGAAAATTCTAAAAGCATTGGGTACCGGCGTTGTTATGATCATACTCTACTCAGATAGATTCATTTCCCCTACTGTATAATAGCCTGATAATCAAAGAAATCGACGATTACGATGGACTCCACCGAAGGAACTGCCCGGCGTCATGACCATCATCCGCCCGTCAATTGGACGGCTACAAGTGGAGATCAGGTGCCTGGGGAAAGCCCTAAGGCATCGATCGGTCGGTTCTACAAGACCTTTAGTCGGACAGATATGAAGAGACAGTGAGAGAATTAGATCCAATTATTAGAATGCGTATCATAGTATACACCGCTCCAGAAACAGCCAAAGAAAGATAATCTAACATATTGAAATCCCAACGCCGAGTTCCTTTTTTCAAACACAAGCGCCAAAACGACCGTTGCCAAAAAAACGAGAGAGGTATATGAAACTAACAAAAATAGAAACACAGACACACAAAATGAAACAGAATATTATATGTGTATAAAATGCCAAGGTGTAATTTTCAGCAGAAAACTGCCTCTAAAGCCTCGACGTCGCCGCCGGCTTTCCGGACCGCATTCAAAGCGGCCTCGCCCATCTTGCGTCGTCTATCACGGGCTTCTTGCTCCCGTCGGGCTTTCGTTTTTGAGCTTCCGCTGGGAGCAACCCCTGTGAGGATCTTGTTTTTATCGTGAGGGGTGAAGTTCACAAATGACACCGTCACCGACTTACCGGCTCCCCTAGGGCTTCCGCCTGAGCCTTTAGCCGGTCTGGGAGCGCTCATCGGTTGGGACATCTTCCTTTGGTAGCGACCGCGCGGAGGGGTCTTCATGATGGCGCCGTTGCGCATGCCCTTGGGCGATCCGGTTGCCGTCGGGGACAAGGATGGGGACCGCGAGGAGGAATTATGAATCTGAGGTGCGTAAGAGGGATCCACAAACTTCTGTGGAGTCGTGGGAGCATGTGTATATGATTGTGTTCCCTGGGCATTGGGAACCGATGGCATCTGCGGTGCACCAAATGACGTGTTTGCAGTACCCGGCATGTCAAATGATGAAGGTTCCAACTGAATCATAAGACCGCCTTGCAGCATGTCATGCTGGTTGTTGGGGGCCTGGATCGGCCTCTGTGGGGTCGGGGACGCGACCACCTGTGGGTAGGAATGTCGCTGGGCAACCCGTGAGTTCATGGGAGACCACCACGCTTGCGCGTCGTGGCTTTGCAGATCGGGTGTGAATGGAAGTTGAGAGGTAGCGAGGGAATCAGAATGCCACGAGGAGATGGACTGAGGATCCGAGGAATGTGGAGAGGAAAAAATGTCGTCTGCTGAGGGGGAACTGGAGGTGGCCATGGCAGAGTTGTTCGATTGACTTAAATACCGTTGCTGCTGTCTAGCCAGCGCGCCGGCAGAAGGAGATGGCATCGAGATAGCGGGGGACTCGGTGAATATGGTCGAGTCGAAAGGGTTAGGCATCTCGGAGGACTCCCCATGGTGTGTCATTTGGGCAGTGTGATCGGCGCACATATTCTCGTGCTGCACCAGGATATCGGAGGGCGGCGGGGACAAAGGCAAACGACCATCCGAACTACCTAAGCTGAAGTTCTGGAATCGCTGAGCCCAAGCTTCCGGGTACGCCATTCTGCCTTTCTGGAGCTGAGAGGAGCGAACTATGCTGGGGGAGAAGCTCTGTTTGCGCAAAATACCGCGGCGTTCATGGGTGTCACGACGGTGGCCAGTTGATTTGGGAGTGACTAGGGCGCTTTTGGCTTTGCGATGAGGAGTGGCCGGGGGAGTAGACGGCGAGCGGGTTTTTGCCGGAGGGTTTGGCGAAGAAGCTTCGAGGTTGACGTTTAGATCCGCAACGGCCGCGGGGTGGATGGTGTCTTGAAAAGCAAGGGGTGCTTGGCCTGAAGAACTGACGTCCTGCGGAACAGACCAAAGGTCCCTACCCCAGGGTTGCGGTGACTGCTGGGCCCGCTTGGAGGCGGAGACGGTGGGCGACAGGTCGCCACAATCGCTAGACAATGAATCGAGTGCGAATATTTGATCAAAGTCTCCAGGGAATGAAACGTCTTTGTTGCCATCGGCAGTTGTAGGATCCATATTGACGTACTGGAAGATATCGTCATTGAATGAATGATCGAAAGATTGGGCGAACATCTTGGGCGAGTGAGGTACAGCGGTCACCTTCCGTTTGCGGCGACAATGAGAGAAGATGTCAAAGGCTGTTTGGAGCAGCAGAAGTTCAGATGATTGGCCTAGAGGCCGGCGGAAATAGACAAGCAGAGGGAAACCAAACAACCAAAGAATGGTAGGGATGGGTCAAAGGGAAGCTCGGAAGGCGAGCCGGGGTTCCAACAGGGTGTGTTTGGGTGATGATGGAATGTTTGGACTGTAGGAACAGTTTGATAACTTGTCAATCAAAGAAAACACTGCACAAGATGCAAAGTAGACAAAGCAAACAAACAAAAGACGAGTCGCCCTTTTTGAAGTGTCCGCCACAGACTTCCAGCCTCTGGGATTCTGCACACATTCCATCTGCTCTAAAGATGGCCAAGGAATGCAATATAACGGACCTGAAGGAACTTCCCCACCATTGATCGACGCGGAATGCTAGATGTCTCCTCGCACGACCGACACTGCCAATCAGAGCACCCGAATAGCTTGGTGGCTGAATGGGCTCTCCAACTCTTCCATCCACACTTTCATTCAGAGTGGGCTGGGGACCCAAATGGCCACCCGTCGGAATGTAACCTTCACTATGCCAGAAACAGAGAGGATAGAATCAGCAGGACAAGTGCGTGTGCGCGGTGTGCGGGCCTTGGGGGGGGGGGGGGGGTCCAGGTAGGACCCAAACCAATGACGACGAGATATCGTCCCTCTGGTAATCGAAGCCGGGTAGTGATCAGGCCTTAGATGCAACAGGGATCACCAATCACACGGGTCCTGCTGGGTTTGAGGAGCAGTCTGGGAGAATATCCGCCGTAGTAAGTGACTTCTCGAAATGTAAACGTCATATGGGATTACCTCATATGTGTGGTTCTATAGCTGAGGGGCCTGCAATTCCTTTCTCTCACCCTATTCCCTCTTGTGCATCTCGACTTCTCCGTGAGCTTCTCCGGAATGGTGGAGCAGAGGCTTCCCGGGTGTTCGGTGCACTGACGTTCATAAGGTTAGAACGGATATCACTTTGCTTTGGGGCTGGGAGGAATGTGAACCCCCAGCAACAATGCACTAAACCGATTTCTGGAACCCCGAACCACCTTGCGATTCATGCCACATATTCCAGCGGGTAATCGATTGACTTGCAGTTTTCCACATGAAATGATCTGCAAATCATGACCCTATCTTGTAGATGCAAGTTTCTATTATTAACACTCTGTAACGCGTCACGGTCTTTTCGCGTCTGTATAGGATAACGCTGTTTGCATTGAGCTTCCAATGCACTTTTTTTTTTTTTTTTTTTTTTTCAAATTCCCCGAATATGCAAGTCACTATCACAGTAACTCGTCAATTGAACTGTCTCTATTGACTGAAGAGTCCCACACGAAGGACGGCGGGAACCCGCAGGTTCTTTGTTCTTAGTCCAGTAGCAGAGCATTGATCTCTTCCGAGAGCAAGTCGAAAGAGCCTGTAGAAACTCACAGATACCAGTCTGGTTTCTTATTTCTTTGTTGAACATCTTTCCTGCTTTTGTGCTTAACCCCTGTCGAAGAGCCACGGTTCACCTCTTTGATGATTTCCAAGGAGTCACACTGACAGGGTAGCGGGCAAACCCGTATAGAGCAACACAAAAAATGATTCCGCAAAAAGGAGGGAGCCAATTCGAGGCCTCGGGGAACTTCAAGATCCGCAAGCGGAATCTCAGGTGGGCAAAAACACTCGTGTCGACTCAGGGGGCTCGTCCAATGCCAGAGTGTGGCAACAGCCACTGGCAGGAATGTTCAGCCTACCCTTAGCATGGAACATAGATAGAAGCATTCTTTTTTTTTTCTCTTGGAGTCCTAAAGCTGTTGGCACAGGGAGAACAGCGACTGCTTTGTATTTTCGATAAGTCACAAAGCAATTGGCTCGTGTTTTGTTCTGTTCCTGCAGTAAAGCATTCCTGGCTCTTCTCGCAAGGGGTATTCCTACAAAGGAAATTTGGCAGGCCTTGAACACTATAGAAGCCGACAATGAGATGGATAGCAATGACTTGCCTTGAGCAATGTTGAAATCGAGAAGCAGAAACAACAACAGGTACCGATTAAGATCCTGCAGGTCAAGCCGTGGCTTCCTATTGCAGATGATGCCGCTTTAAGGCAATCATGCTCATGTGATACATGGCAGCAGTTCCGATCACGTGATCCTGTTGTATCGAGCAGTCAATGTAGTACGGAGTAAGTCAAGAATGCATTGACCTGGAGGACGTCCACTATTAGTACCAGGGCGCAAAATATCGGACTGAAGAAGCTAGGAGCTCTCAATCAAGGCACCCGTTTAAGCCATGCGCCTTGGACGACCCTGATAACTTGATCTATCACATAGATTCGAGTCCTCAAATCCGCTTGGCATCAATATTGAATTAGTCTAATCTTGATCGGGTGCTTGGTCTTCCTGATTAGTCCCACTTATGAGCCGCTAGGATCTAGTTATTATTGTTCTATATAGTTACTGCAATTTTATTGATTTGTGTTGGTCGACCATGGTCAAAATCCAAGGAAAGCAAGATATGGCCAGAAAATATAAAAACTCTGGCCCTTACCAAAAGCCCCCGTAGATCAATGATCAGCTGAATCTAAAATATCGAACAATGAATGGAATAGAATATCGGATGCACAGCGACCACCAAGTTGGAAGCGCCCGGAAACATCAGTCGGAAGTTGAGTCAGCATGACGCTCGCTTAGTTAACTAGTTAGCGACCGGCGCTAACCCGCCCGGGGCAGCCGGTCGAACGCCGGGCCGACAGTAAGGCCGCAGAGGGAGGCAACTGCGGGAAAGTTCGCTGATGATGACGGAAATCTTACTGCAAAGTCAGGCTGGTCACCGGGAACTGCCTGTTTCTTCCTTCCCTTTCTTCTCTTCTCTCTCTTCAGCGCTTATAAAGGTGCTAATCGCCACCCCCATACAGTGTTGTTTCTATTATCATCCCCATCTATCATCAACTCACACTACATTCTATCAGCGCTTTGAACTTATCGTCCGAACTCTGACCCGACTGAAACCGGTATACCCCCTTTTGATCCTTACCCCTCGCACCCCCGCCGAATTCATCCACACATCCCACGCAAAGTGGGTATGACTCAATAAAACCAGGTCGCCATCCATCATTCGCGCTCGATCAACGCGAAATCAGTCCTCGAAACCTACCGAACAGACTTTCATCTATCGTGAAGTCGTGCCGATTTCCTATTTAGGACCTCACGCGTCGCGACAGAGCCGTCATTCCGGCCCCCTAAATCTACGACAAGACCCGTTTACACGATCTTGATATCCGACAATACATATGTATAACATCGGAAAATCCATCGTTTCGATCAGAAAAAAGGAGCTGAAAGAGTTGTGTTCGTTTTGGGAAGTCGAAAGCTACCAACAGAAGTGCATGTGCAACAATCTTGAAACCCCCAACTATCAGATTTCGAAGTGATATCATCAACCATGTCTCAGAAGGTTTTTCCCATCGAGGGATTCCTCGCCTTCCACTAGTTGAACACTTCGTTCACGCTTTAGCTTCGCTATGAATTCCCCCACGTTTGTCGGAGGCCTTCGAAGCCGTTCATTTATCTTGATCGCAAACAGCACGGTCTATTCGCTTTTGAATCACAAAGTCCCTTCTATTCACCTTGGTTGCTCAGGTTAGCTCAAGCGGAAAATTTGCACAGTTCTATATCCTTATCTTGCACGTCGTCGTCCTTGAATTTGGATAATCTGGCCCGAAAAACGCCGTTGAATCAAGAACCCCCATTCACAATGAATGCCACGAATATGAACCAACAGTCCTGGGAATCCTTCTCTTCGACTTGCTCACGTCTTGAATGCTCAACCACTTCCCAGGACAGCTGCTATGCATCGGACGAGGTCTCTATGACCTCGACCAACTTGATTGCAACAAAGACATTGACTACTGCCCTAGCGGCCCCCTTCCGTCCTATCTTGAAATCCATCTTGAAGAGACCATGCGCCCAACCCGAAGAGGGATCGGAGTCGGGCTATGGATCTCATGGCATGTCTGATGGTGAATGCATAAATGCATCCGACCTGTCATCCGAAAATGAGGATGACGATGTCATGGACGGAAGCGATGATGAAAGTGACGATGAAATGTACTACGAAACCGCATGGGAGGATGGCACTGATGAGTCTGTCTCCGATGGATCTGACATCGTGTTCGGATATGACGAAGAGAACGAAGCTGACTCGCTCGAATGTTCCTTCGTCTCTTTCGAATCGACCGGCGTTCGGTTTGCCCCAGAAGTCTCCTATATCGAGGCTCCATATTACTTCGATGCCGACGACGAAGACGATGAGCCTCAGACCGGAATGACATGCCATGAAATGATGGAGCTTGCCCGTGCTTCTGGAAGACTTCATTTTGAGGAGAGCGACACGTCTGATGTTGACATGGACGACGAGGATCTTGAGGTTCAAATTTCTGATCACATCAAAGAATTGCCAGAAGAACATCCCAGCGACGTGGCTGACCTGGATAAGCGCCTATTCGCGGCCTACATGCATGGCATCCAAGGGATCGCCGAACCTGATTACAAGGCGCGCCTTCGTGCGCGAACCAAAGAAGTCAAAGCGGGGCACACTCAGTCACCATACCTGGATTCGAAAGACCCCGATTATATCTACATCGACCAGGCCTTGAACCATGTCATCGGAAGCTTTCACAATCTCGTCACCGAAGAAGAATTAGACGAACTAGTCACAATAAACGACACAAAGGGGCTTTCACTGCGGCTACCTGGGGCCGTGGAAAGCCTTGATCGTTATTTGATGGGCAAGATAGAGGGCCTCCTCTCAGAAAGGCTGGCCACCGACGAGGTCCTGATCGGCCCGGAGGAGTTGAGCTTCTTCGCGGGCGGTGTTGGCTTTGCACTTGACCATTGGAGGCCTTATGTCTGCTGCCATGAGAGCCTACAGTGAGCTCTAACAAATCACTGAAGAGACCAGGCGAATACAGAAAACTAAAAATACCGAAAGAAAAAAAAAAATTTGGTGAAAACGGTGGGAAAATGAACTTTCTATGTATGACTTACGATAAACATTTGTAAAAGCTTTAGCGGGGTTTAACTTGCAGCATTCAATGCTTGATTTAACAATGAATTGAAAATTTAAATTCAAATTGGTACTCGTAAGCAGGATTTATCCTGCAGCTATGCGTGTTTTTTTTATTTTTATTTTTTATGCAGCCACCTCTTCGTGCATCCACGGAATTTGTTGCGAATGTACTTTATCAGGTCTATTCCACTGTACATATGAGTAGACACTTATCACCACGTTCCCCCTCAAAGCTCTCTCCGTCACTCTATCCAATTTATATACATACAATAAATATCTACAGAAACAAAGACCCCAGACCCCGAACCACACGCTACCCAAACCCCCAACTCAATAACGAATCAACCCCTGCTGCACCGACGACTCCAACTCAAACGGCATCTTCAAGACATGCAGCAGACACGCCTCCAGAATATCCAAATACCCGCTCTCCGTCCCCGATTTCCCCAAATACCGCTGTCGGTAGAGGTGTAGGAAACCTACTAGTTCTTCCTCGTCCTCGTCAGCCCCTTCCTCACTACCGCTATCACTGTTACTGTTTGGGTTGTCTATCAGCGAAGACCCCATGTCATGCGCTATCTCTTTGCATAGGTTCTGCGCATCGCCGGGGAGATATTCGTCGCTTCGTTGAGCCATGGCTTGTGTGAAGCGGGGCGCGAAGACGCGCATCATCCGCGCGATGTAGCGTCTTTCTTCGCCGACGCAGATGCGTAGATCGCTGCGGCCGAGAACGGAGATGGCGCTGTTGCATGTGATTAGTTAGTTGGTTTGATAGGCTGGGGGTGATATACATACACGTAAACGGAATCGTTGGGGTCTTGGGGGTTTGATTGTTCACTTTTCAAGTGAATTATCAGCTATTGTATCTAGCTAGTTAAGATTGATAGGTAGTAAGTAACTCACCTGTGAGGTACCTCGACTAATACCAAAGCAGGGACACTGATATTCTTGAGCAATGTCTCGACAAACTCTCTGGCAGGTATGGGCGCCTCGGTTTGCCCGTCCGTATGCGTCAGGACGCCATTGAGGAAGGAGTATTTCTGGGATATGGGTTCGTTGTTATCGCCAGAGATTCTTAACGAGAGATGAAGACAGCGTTAGGATTTCGTCGGGTAGGGAATATGTTGGGCAGAGGGATATGCGATGGATTGTTTAACATAACATAACATGACATAACAGAAGGTAAAAATGAACATACACCTTGCCATTCCCTGAGAAACTAACGACATTGGCTTCGACCTCGACCTGGTCCGGAAAGCTGGTGCGTTCGTGACTGCCGTGAAGGAAAAAATAGCGCGGTAGCCCGCGGCCTCCGGAGGCGTATAGTAGTCCAGACATTGTTGATTGATTGATGGAGTGAAGTGAATAATTATCAATAAAGAGACAAGCTAACTAAGTAATAGAACTCAGTAGTTACCAGGGTATACAATTGTCGTCAAGACGAGCGACAGAATAGTTATTCAGACAAACCAACTACCTACTCTACCTATGTATGTACCTACGCCCCCATAAATAAGACCCCGACGAAGGCCAAATTGATTTATTTTTGTACACGCTATAGAAGCATTGCGTAAGTGATCGGACAATAGACCCTGAATCGAAGCGCTTACAATGCATGGAGGCTCGGGGTAAGACTAAAAATAGCGGCTCTATTTTCTGTAGACTGGAGCCGGGACCCATCCTAACGGACACTTTTTTTCTCCTATTGTCGCTCGGAAACTCGGACGACTTCGATCTCGGGGGGTTGACGTCAGCTGATGGGATACGTTAGTGGCACTAGTTTTATTGATAGTGCGCGCGATCACGACTTCAGAGTAAGACCACTCGGCTCGGTTTGGGATTTTTCAATTTTGAATTACCAAAAGATGCGTCCAGCGTAAAGTTGTCGTTGTCATGTTCAACTGTCAGAGAAGTTGGATGGGGAAAGGTGGCCCTTAAGAGGGACCCACTCTGCTCACTCTGCTCGTGCTTACTAGTGTGCTTTTTGAGGGATACAAAACCATGCAATAGAGCGATAGAGCGTGGGAATGCAGTTAACACACCCCTGTTGTTCATCTCTTCAGCAAATTCCGGTAAACTGGAACCTTAGTGATGATTGTTGGGCATTCCCGTGCTTACGACAGTTCTGTTTAGGCCCACTATCACCACGGCGGCTGCTACTTTATATAGTTGGATCTGCGATTATTTATATTTCCCAACCAGTACAAGATGTGTCTATTCACTTCTTTACAACTAGAATGTGAGACCGTTTTAATGTCCTCACGTTCTTCGCACCACTGGCCCCTCCTGAACTGTCATTCCCGCTTCAATAGTTATACGTCTTTTCAATAAGGCCGAGCGTCCTCGATGAGAAAGAGTATTAAGTTGTTATCCAGGGTACCCGATTATTGTTCCAAAGGCTTATCTCTAAGCCCTAACTCATGCAACTAGTGAATAATCTAGAGGCACAATATACTAGGTAGGATTCTGCCACCGGGCGCCTTTCATTGCTAGGCAAAGAGAGAATGACTACGTACTCCAAGAGACATGGTAAAGACAATTTCTCTTAGGGAGGAAGTACAGCAAGGGACCTTTCAAGTCATGGGCCAGATATTTCTCCCTAGCAATTCACTATGGATAAGAGCTACCCGCAGCAAAAGGGTACATACAATAATGTACGCCTTTTTCCAGTTTCTCTTCCAATCTCCTCTGGGATGTGCTTCGCGCTGGTGCTATGGTGAATCCTTTGTTCCAACCGAGAACATCCCGCCAATATCTCTTTATTAATCCAGACGCCGCATAAAACGGGCAGACAGCCACCCTTATTACTCACAGTCCTTTAGTATCTTTCGCTGACATACTTCCTACATGCCGTCCTTCAAGCACCAGAATCGACCACCGAAGCGCCGTACCTTTCCTCCTCCTCCGATATTCTGGGATAAACTCACAAAGCTATACTTGACTAAGAGCGCGCTGGGAGAATTTAACCCCCGAAATAGCCTCCTACTGTCTCCAAGCCAAAGCTCTTCTTCTACCTCTAACTCTCATACTTCTGCTTCTGATTTCTTGCGCAACTGCTCTACTACTTGTTTACAAGAGATCAGAAAACTGTCTCGCTACGGAGGATCAGATCTATCGGATATTCTAGAGTCCGTGAGTAGCTAAGTGACACGATCCTTGCAAGGAGGAGCAAGCAATCTATAGTGCTGAATTTCTTCGTCGAGGCAAAGGGCCATGATGTGCCTTTGGCTGTGCTCAAACGCCAGGCTTTGTATGATGGTGCTTTGGGTGCACGGGGGATGTATTCCCTACAACAATATACATACCATAGACGTTGAATAGAACAAAAGAACAACATCACCAGCGACAATAGAAACAAGAAATACCGCGATGAGTTTATCAGGCAAGCAAATGATCGATATGCAATTGGTCAGGGTCATGCCTGCCGGTAATTCTGATGAATATGGGGAAATTAGGTAGATGTCAATGCTCAATATAAGGTGATTGAGCTATCTCAAATCAGAGTCACCCAGTGACGAGAAGTCTATCACGATGTGTAAGCGAACAGTTTGCCTTGGAGAGGCTTGCTGTTTGCGCCGAGTGCGATTATTGGGATTTGTGATCGTGATGGAGACGGTAGGCTCGAAGTTGACTTTGATGGGCTGGGATGGAAGAATTTGATGGATATGGTGAGGGAAAGATGGATATAGTTAAGCAATCACTGTTAACCGGATGAGTTTGCTCTAAATAACTGCGGTCGATATTTTCAATATCGTCTAATATGAGGACCAATCTAAATTAGCATATCTTGGTGGGTTTCCAATTGTGCTTTCCAGTATCAACATCGGAGGAGCCACTGACACTAAATGAAATGGTAAAGGTACGGAATAGATACAAAAGCCTTCCGATTGGAGATGACTTAGAAGCAAGGCATGCTGTCTCTAACAAGGAAAGAGATAGAAAACTGCAGTGGACTAGTTAAATAATTGCAGTATTTAATGACCATAGTTTAAGCTAAAAACGGAGATCCTTATTCTCTTGAAACAAAAATATCTACTCAAGCTGTCGCTTCGTCACTACCACTTGATGCCCTCGCAGGAAGGGTCGCCCACCACGATCACTCGTAAGGCGACAAAGAGATGAAACAAACCCTCCCTTATCGAATTTTCCCCTTTGAAACCCGAAGACACGTCATCTGTAAGCAACCAGAAGCCTGAAGAAGTCGGATTAGGTAGGCGGACGAGTCCAAGTCTCCACAGTCAAAGCTCTTTGGGTATTAATTAGCCTGTCCTCAGAAGGGAAAAGTCTACGCCGATATAAAGCAGTTCTATCTTCTCGGTCACGTCACTCAGGTCGCTTTTATCTTATGTCCTCAGATAAAGGCAGCGAATCAAGAGTACCAGGATGAACATGACCAGCGTGCACAAGTAAGATAGTTAGTAGAAGTGTAAGCAGCCCAAAACTAAAATCATATATCCCTACCAATCCTCAATGACCAGGTCGCCAGCGTAGCACAAAACGATTCCCTCGCCTCCGTGGGTTCCGATCTGATATAATCTCTCAGTCCAAGCCATCCCTGTCAAGTAGACCGGACCACAGAAAAATGGATCACCGATAGAGCATTCCGTATGCAGGGAGCCTTACCTCGCCCGATCGAGACCTCTAGAATCTAAACCACCATCCTTGACAACCTCGACGTGGAACAAAGATGGGGCAAATGAACCCTCTTCATTAGTTGCTTTTTTACTTTTTATCCCCCAGTGGCATCTATGTATCTACTGTACTGTGCACTGCAGCCAACCAGCCAGCCACTTCAAAACACCACCGGAAATATCCAACGTGAATTCCTGCACCTGCGCCTGCCCCTCCGACAAATGACACGAAGGCGTTGACACACCCGAAGCGAATCTGTAACAGGTAGAAGAGTCGAGACCGCCGAGGTGCATGCAGGAGTGGAGCACCGGCGCGAGATGCAGAGAAAGCGGCTGGAAATCCGAGCCGTGCGTCGATCTTGATCTTATTCCAGAATTCTAGGTCGTACAGAGACCGTTGGATTGGATGAGACGTCTCGATTGAAATGCGGGATGTGGGAGGGTTTTTAATTGCGGTGTTATTTGGGTGGTGGCGATTTAATTTGTGTGTGGAGTTGGTATATATGTACTGTACCTAGTGGGTTTATTTTGCAAGGATGTGTTCTGTAGACATTGGAAGTTGGGACGGGAAGGACGGATGTATATAGTTACCAAGTGATAACTAGGGAACACTCAATATAGTCAGCGTGAAGCTTACTTTATATGCTTATGACTTCTCTTTTATCATTATGCAGAGCATATCGATAGGATTCCAGCGGGGTTCCCGTAGTGGGTTTGATCTCACGCACCACAGCACAAAGACTCAAAGAGAGCAAAGAAAAAGAAAAAAGAAGAAAAAAAGAACCATGCTTAACTAATTAATTTATGTTAAACAGTGCTAGTCAGATGCAAATTCTGGGGACATTCTAGTAACATCTCATCTCCATTATGCTCCGTGCCTAATGCGGCAGATGATTTAACTCAGATAGTCGTTGGATCATTCGCATGCAGGTAATTCCCGACTACGGAGAAAATACCTTTGGCGCTATTGAACCTGAATCGAAGAGCCTCGTGTCCAACGGGGTACATGATTCGGGTGATGGATCTATTGAAGATTGATACTATGTTGAGCAGGTGGGATTCCGAAAGGCAAAGGAAAGGGGGAAATAATAGCCGTCCATGCCGTAATAGGGCAATGCTCGTTGCGCGTCACAAGGTCAAATATCCGTCGTGCTGGGTTTGATTACGAGGAGTAACTAAGTAGTGTTATCGGGAGCCATCATTTGACAGAATTTAGCTGCTTTTTCTTTGTTATTGCTTTTGCTGTCTGCGTGTAACACAAGCGTGCTGATCTCAGCTGAGATCCGATACTAACTCATCCGTCTGCCCATCCATCCATTCATGCAATGCATTTCGGCAAATCCAACGACGACGGTCTGCACGTAAGGGATTATTCTGATGCAGTCGATTTTAGAATGCAGCATGCACATCCCTCGCTCACTCCAACCAGATCCTGTAGTCACTAATCGGTAAATCAGCCTACTCACTATCCGCCGTGTTGGTCACTCGGTCCATCGAAGCCAGCTCAACCATGGTTCCGCGTTGATTCCCCGCTCAATAGATCGGTGGTGAACCGCGAACGCATACCCTCAGCTGGAGAGGGGGGCGCATGATGCACAATAACCAATTGATTGGCTCAGGCACGCATTGATTGCCCTGACTCGGTGGCGGAATTATTGGATCAGAGACCACATGGGTCCTCTGACCCACTACTGCAGCCAACTGATT